TTAAGTAGAAGGTGATTTATGATAACCGAACTTTTTTTTTTCTTTGCTCTAAACCAATTGGATCTGGTTGAGCAGTTGGCAGGTTATTAGCTCAGCGGATGCATATGGGTTTTTGGTTTGTGTGAATGAGTTGATTGTAGTTCAAAATAAAGTCTACTCGAAGCCAACTGTAATTATTGCTAGTAAAGTCACTGGAGAAGAGGAGATCCCTGATGGCGTTGTTGCTGTGCTGACTCCTAGTATGATTGATATCTTGTCTCATGTCTCTATTAGAGCAAGAAACAGCAAGGCATGTATTATATGTATCATCACACAAGGCTGCAAAAATAGTATCCAAGATGTTTACGTCTTACATATGTCCGCTTCTCAATTCAAATTTGTCTGATGCAGATATGCTTTGCTACATGCTTCGATCAGAATGTTTTTAGGAATCTCAAGTCGAAGGAAGGGAGAGCAATATCTATTCATACTAAGTCTACTGGTTTACTGATCAGGTAATCAAACTCTTATGTTGCCACTGTTCTTTACGCTAAAGGTGGGTTTTCTAATACCTCTGAATTTATATCACTTGCAGTGATGGCAATAACTATGATGTCTCTGTCCGTCATATTTTTATTTCTTCGGCTCCAAGGGGAGTGATCTCCAAGGGGAAGAAGTTTTTTGGCCACTATGTGATTTCATCCAAAGAATTCACAGATGAAATGGTAAGTAAAAACCTGATTCGTGAATATAAAAAGTTTCATTTTGAGAATATCATTTGGATCTTCATGTCACTGAGCTTTTTAGGTTGGTTCAAAATCATACAATATCAAATTTCTACAAGAAAGAGTTCCATCATGGATCAAGATACCTACCTCAGTTGCTCTTCCGTTCGGAACATTTGAGAATGCACTCTCAGATCATTCTAATAAGGTATATCTAAAATCATGTTGCCTTATCATTTTCTCTTTTCTGGAACTCTCAAAAAGTATTGCAAGGAATGGCTACTATGTGATCAAATACACAACTGCTCATTGAGTTTGTGATACAGAGCTTTCTCAAATTATATTTTTTGGGTGGATTCATCGCTTTTCAGGATGTGGCACACAAGATTGCTGCCTTTAAAGATTCTCTTAACAGAGGAGATCTGACAAAACTTAAGGCGATTCAAGAAGCTATTTTACAAATGAGCGCTCCAATAGCTTTGGTAATAACTGGTCATATAATTGTTTTTCTTTCTCTCTGGGCATGTTTTATATGTATCACATGTTGGGTTTTAAAATATTTGGTAGAGAAATGAACTGATCAACAAATTGAGAAGTGAAAGAATGTCGAGTCTTGGAGATGAATCCGGCTGGAACCGCTCATGGATGGCAATCAAGAAGGTAGAAATCTCTTTGAAAGTATGTGTATTTTGAAAAGAACCAAGTGCTTTCTTGATCTTCACATCTTTATAGGTCTGGGCTTCAAAGTGGAACGAGAGAGCTTATGTCAGTTGCAAAAAAACCAAGCTTGATCATGATGCCGTCTGCATGGCGGTGCTAATCCAAGAAGTCATATGTGGCGATTATGCTTTCGTCATCCACACAAACAATCCTGTCTCTGGTGACTCTTCAGAAATATACACAGAGGTAAAAAGAACTTGTTCCATATTTAAAAAATATGAATAAAAATCGAATTATCATGAAATTGTGTTTTGTCAGGTTGTGAAGGGTTTGGGAGAGACCTTGGTTGGAGCATATCCAGGACGAGCTATGAGCTTCATCACCAAGAAAACAAACCTAAAGTCTCCAACTGTAAGAAACAAACAGATTGTATTTGTCTCTTAAGTTTCAGTAATAAATTAACAGAATTTTAACAAAGTGAAAGGTGAATATGGGGTTGTACAGGTGATCAGCTACCCAAGTAAGCGGATAGCTCTGTATTCTAAATCCTCAATCATATTCCGATCAGATTCAAACAATGAGGATCTCGAGGGCAACGCAGGCGCTGGACTTTACGACAGGTTAGTTTTTTTTTTTTATTCTCTGTTTTAGTCTTTTTGGAACTTAAAAGCTGAAAAGGTTCAAGTGCTGCAGTGTGATAATGGATGAAGCCGAGGAAGTGGTGGTGGATTACTCAAGGGAGCCTCTAATAGTGGACAAAGACTTTCGAGTGCGTCTGTTTTCAACAATTGCAGAAGCTGGAAATATGATAGAGACACTCTATGGTAGTCCTCAGGACATCGAAGGTGTTGTCAAAGGTGGCCATATTTACATCGTCCAAGCTAGACCCCAAGTTTAAGCTCTCTCTTACTATTTCCACCCATTAGCTAAGTTACAAAACTAAGAATTACAACTTAGAAGATAGTAGTAAGCTTTTATTGTGTTGCTATTACATACATGACATGTAAACCAAATCTGGCACACTCCTGATACAAAACATTGTCTCAATATATCAGCTCGTTTAAAAGGGCAACGTATGAAAGAGGACATAAAACGCTGTCGTATAGGCAATGATAACTCAAAAAAGAATTAAGAAGCCGAGAAAGTCCCGCGAATGGATACTGCTCTCATGGCTACAACACCAATCAAATGTCTTCATGCTTCGATTCCTACGGTATCACGTTCCCCGGCGATTTATCAGGCCTGCTTCCGTCGCGCACGATCGTTAACCTATCGAGCGAAGACTATGCCCATGTGTTGCTCATTCAGACCATCAGATTTGAGATCTCGCTTCCTCAGTAATACTCGGAAAACCACTATTCCAATGAGACAAGGCTTTTCCGTCAATGCTTCGACGGAGCAATCTTCAGTTCCTTCCAATAGAAACCTAATTGTTGTTAACTCCGTCGTAATCGTAGCCTTAGCTGTAGCTAATCGCGTGCTCTACAGACTCGCCTTGGTTCCCATGAAACAGTATCCTTTTTTCTTGGCTCAGCTCATGACTTTCGGGTAACTTAACGACTGGCTGCATGAAAAATACGAGGCGGTGAAGGAGCTTATGTTCTGATAATCGAATAAATTTGGTTTTGTGGTTGGCAGCTATGTCTTGATTTATTTCACCATTCTGTACACGAGGCGGCGTCTAGGCATTGTGACAAATGAAATGATGGGTGTGCCTAAATGGAGATTCGCAATCATTGGCTTTCTTGAAGCTCTTGGACTTGCTACTGGCATGGCTGCAGCAGGTATCCATTTATATATAGTCATGATGGAAACTTTATATATATTTGTAAAGTTACATATCAAGTGATTCCATTCCACTCTCTGTTGCAGCCATGCTTCCTGGACCGGTTATACCGATTTTGAATCAGGTCTTTTGGTTTTGTTTTATTGATTACTCTCCATGTATGTGTTAGTGTTGAACTCATGCCTCCAAATGTTTGGCAGACATTTTTGGTGTGGCAGCTGCTTTTCGCTCTTCTTATATTAGGCAAGAGGTTTTTGCTTAACCAAATTGCTGGTTGCTTGTTTGTGGCTGTGGGAGTTGTGGTGGCTGTTTCAAGGTAGCTATTCTCTCTTATCTTCCCCCATTGTTACTTTCATCTTCTAGATCATTGTGTAAATTCACTATGTACTTTTAGAATTCACCATCCACAGCAGTTAAAATTCAAATTCACCTGTGTGGCATGTGATATTTGATTTCTGCCAAATGCTGATTGTAACTCATCTGCAGTGGATCTGGTGCAGCAATTGGTTTTTTATGGCCTGCTGTATTGGTAGCATCTGCTGCTTTTCAAGCTGGTGCATCTATTATTAAGGTAAGGCCGCTCTCTCTTGTGAGCTGTGAAGTTTTTTTTTTTTTGCTGCTAGTATCTAAGTTGTCAAGTGTTTTATTTCCTGTTAACAGGAATTTGTTTTCATTGATGCTGCAAAGCGTCTTGAGGTATCTGGACCATATTCATATCCATTTTCCTTCTAAAAGAGTATCCCCTGCATCAACTTGCTTAACTCTAAGCATAATGCAACATCGCAGGGAAAGTCACTGGATATATTTGTGGTCAATTCATTTGGATCTGGATTTCAGGTATCTACTAGAATATGGCAGCTAAATATCATTATGTTAACGTATTTGTTCCGGCTAAAACAATGCATATAATAGAGTTCCACCAAGGCAAGCTATTACCTGAATAGTCCGTGTAGATCACTGAAGTTGTGCTTATGCAGGCTCTTTTTGTGTTCCTGTTGATGCCTTTTCTCTCAAACTTGAAAGGCATTCCATTTGGCAGCCTTCTTTCTTATCTAAAAGATGGTGCCGGCTGCTTCTTCAACACTGGAGCTAACATTTCTGGTTAGAGACTATTCGAGACTGTTTTCTTTTCGTTCATCAGTTAGATGCAAAAACTGGTTGTGATCCATTGAGAGCATGTCAGGCTGCGATGGTGCCCCTATACTCCCACTGCTCTATATAGCGACGAATCTCGCTTTCAACATCTCAGTGCTCCATCTGGTGAAAATATCTTCAGCAATCGTTTCCTCTCTCACTGTGATGCTATCAGGTCCATATTTGTTATCTTTTGTAGAAAAGCCTCTTTCAGATGCACCAAATCTATTAAATCCACATTATGAGATACATACTTTTTTGGTGTTGTTGTAGTGCCATTATCGGTGTACATAATGTCAAAACCATTGCCGTATCTACCGGGAGGATCAAGCTTAAGCTCAAATCTCATGATGGGGAGTATAGTTCTGGTTCTAGGTCTTCTTCTCTACAACATTCCCACTACTCCAACTAAGCAACACACCAAGACCTCCTAATACTTCATTCATTCTAATTCATATAAGATACTCTTTTCTGTCAAATGCCTGTGAATTGGTTCTTACAATTAAAAGGAAAGAGAATAATTTGTAATTTAACACGAATATTCCATTTCTTAAATCAAGTTAAGAAAAAAGTTTACAAAAAAAAAAAAAAAATCAAGTTAAGAAAAAAAAAAAAAAAAAAGGAAAATTCACAATTTTTATTACAATAAAAAAGAGAAAATTTTGTAATTGGTTAAGTCAAGTTGAGTGGAAGTCATCTTGGTCGTCTCGGACGAAGTGCTGCGATTTCACCTAAAGTCACACTTTTTTTTTTACCGTCTGGTGAATTTCACGACGGACTCTAATCTCCCCCCTCCTCCACACGCGCCGACCACCATCTCTCTCCCCTCTAATCTCTCTCTCTCTGTAATTTGCTCTTCTCTATGTCAACTATTTCCATCTTCTCTTGCTCTTAGGGTTTGGTTTTTTATTTATTTGCTTGCTCCATATCCTTCAATCAATCAATGTGAAAAAAGCTCTCCTTTTTGGCAGTTCCGATGTTTGGTCGCCATTCTCAACCGGTGATTATCCCCAATAACCAGATTGGTACCGGCTCTGCTGCTTCCGCTGGTGAAGACCATGTCTCTGCTTCCGTAACGTCCGGTCACATTCCCTACGACGATATGGATGAAATCCCTCATCCTGACTCCATCTATGGTACTGGCTCCGATTTGATCCCCGATGGCTCTCAATTGGTCGCTCACCGATCCGAGGGTTCTGAATTACTAGTTTCTCGGCCGCCTGAAGGGGCCAATCAGCTTACCATCTCGTTCCGTGGTCAAGTTTACGTTTTTGATGCTGTTGGTCCTGACAAGGTGATCTACTTCTGTCTCCTCCTTTTTGTTATCTGTAACAAGTCTCTAGTGTGCATCTGAAAATTAACGCCTGATGGCTTAGGGCACGTAAAGATGACCTCTTTTTGCAAGTGAAATGGGCACTTTTTTGTGCTTCACCGAGTCTTACCAAAATTTTGGAAATTGATTTTGATAGGTCGATGCCGTGTTGTCGCTGCTGGGTGGTTCTACTGAGCTCGCTTCTGGTCAGCAGGTGATGGAATTAGCTCAGCAGAATCATATGGTAACTTTGCTATATGTGCCCAACTTCTGCCTAAGTGCTCACTTCATCTCTATTCCACCTTTGTTAATTTGTTGTTGTTTTTAGCCTGCTGTAGAATACCAGAGCCGCTGTAGCCTTCCTCAACGGGCGCAATCCTTGGATAGGTTTCGGAAAAAGAGGAATGCTAGATGTTTCGAGAAGAAAGTAAGATACGGTGTTCGCCAAGAAGTGGCTTTAAGGTCAGGGGATTTTTCTGTTTTAGTTCAGTTGTTTAGTTGTTGTCATTCTAGATTGTGCTACACCTGCAAATCAGCCTTGAGTTTTACCACTCTATGCCACTAGCTGTTAGCCTTTAACTATCATCCCACATTGGTTAGCAGAGTGTTTAAACAATTTCTTAGGCCTAGGGGAACCCTCAGAATTGAGCTAGCTTTTATTTTGTAACAAAACCCTTGAGTTAGTTCTTTTTAAAATGTCACATTTGTCAGGAAAATGCATTGTGTGATGGTTACTCGTTGAAGAGGCTGGACATGTTACTTTCATATTTCCTGGGGTCAAAAACTTAGTAGTCTTGTATAGCTAGCTAAGCTAGAAATTTTCTTCTCTTTTGGCTATGCTCTGGTTTGTTAAATACTTCCTCACTTTTATGTGCTATGAATTGAAACAATATCTGTTCATATTTAACTAGTTTACTATCTTTGCTACTTTTCTTATATTTGTTTCAAGAAGTTTGGTGATTATGTAGGTGCTTATGTAGTGACTCAGGCTTCAGTGTCCATGGCTTGCTGTAGTATATGAGAATATGTTTGTAGTTGAGCTGGATAGATTATAGCCACGGTTTTGTGACAATTAGCTTAAACTCGGAATACTGGACATGTTTATTTTTTCTCAAGGGATAGGATTTGCCACCCTTTTCTATCTCTCTGACCTTTGTTAGTCTTTACCAGAATGGCGCGTAATAAAGGTCAATTCACCTCTTCAAAGATGTCGGATGGGGCTTATAACTCGGGCACAGATCAAGATTCTGCCCAAGATGATGGCCATCCAGAAATATCGTGTGTTCTGCCCCTTCCAATTTAGACTGCTTATACAATTCGTGTTATCCACTAGTTTGCAAAAAATTTCGTCCTCTTGTTTTAAACGTGAGTGTGTCTAACGTAGGTGTACTCACTGCGGCATTAGTTCCAAATGTACACCAATGATGCGACGTGGCCCTTCTGGCCCCAGGACTCTCTGCAATGCCTGTGGACTTTTTTGGGCTAACAGGGTGCGTATAAATCTCGACAGAAAGATATAAATACATCACCTCCTCAATTTATTTTCACATATATCATATTTTCACTATACTCAGGTCATGAAAACTATAATAGCTATTATATTTCACATTTTAAACTGTTCAATTCTTGTAGGGCACATTGAGGGATCTCTCAAAGAAAACAGAAGAGAATCAGTCGCCTTTAATAAAAATGGTGAGCTTTTATCATTTTCTCCGTGTGTTTTTTTTTGTTGGCTTATTACACACACATAAGACAGAGCCTGAATCATTGCTTAATTTAGGGCGAGGCCGGTAATGTTGCCGATGCTGACAACTCAAACTCTGAACCGGCAACTGCTGAAGAAGACACTTCTTTGGTTGCTCTTGCAAATGGGGAAAATTCTATTATGTTAGGTAACCATCACTAGATTCTGTGATAAGAATCAGAAATAGAGGAAATCCTTGTAGAATCAGTTGGTCTTGTTTATGAATTGATATTTTCTCATCATCACATGTATTATAGAAACCATAACCGAACCTCAAAGCAAATACCATATCAATCAGATATCTTTGGTTTAAGAGTTTGATAATCGGAATAGTTCTGTTACTGTGCCTGTATACCAAATCCTGTGACATGATGAGGTTAAAAGGCAAAGTTGAATGTGAAGGGAAAAGACAGATTTGATTAGATTGAAGAGACATTATTAAACTGAAGTGGTACGTATTCGTCTGATCAATTAAATACTAATCAATTCAAAACTCGTAAGATCTTTTGCTTCTTCTTTTTGGTTGTAAGCCCGACTAACACTACTTTATAAAATAGCTGCTTAACAATTTAAAAAAAAGTTGCGTTGGAATGTGACAATGCATCTTAGATCTCAATCTTAGTTTACAAGAGTAGCTTATAGAAGAAGTGTGCATAAGGATCATATACCAAAACCATGTGGATGACTAACTAAATGCTGCTCGGGACGGGACCACGAATTAGATAAGATTATCTATTAATAATCACATTATTGTGAACATAACAATTAGAATACACACAAAAGATGTATGGGAGAAAGAGAACCGTCCATAGTCCAACCATTTTGATGATAACCAAAAAAAATGATAATGTTTGTTCTGCCAACAATATAGTTAATAGTAATGTGTTTATAGAATAGTTTATGATCGAATTTACGAAGAGATTATTCGAGAAGGTGTCGCTTTTAAGTGTACTCGATCCTCGTGACGACTCGTTCTTCTCTTTCTTTTATTTTAGTTTTTGTTAAAACAAATCAAAAGTAATAATTCTAAGACGAATAAATTAATAGTGGGTTATCTGTATCAGTACTCTATAACAGAGACCCATGCATGTATCATAGCTTATTATGTCAATCATATTAAATAAATAGTATCAACGTATAAAAATCTTCCGATTGAAATTAGTGTATATGAGTCACGAGCTAAATCTGAAGGCTTCACCAAACCTAGGATGTAAAGGTATGAAAAAAACAGCTAAAGAAACACTCTTGTGAATGTGATTCATCCCTGTCTTGTTAGTTGCATGCTATTATTGTAGGACTCTTTCTTGCGTTGAGAAATAATATACAGAAACCTTTTCGTTTATTTTTATTATTTTTTAACATTAAGATAGTTGAGATTCAGAAAATAAAAAGATAGTTGAGATTCAGAAGATGAGTGTTTGGTTTTGGTGGTGGTATGAACTTTGTAAGTAGGAAACAAAAAGGAGAATCTAAAAGCGGTCACAAGTCACAGAAGACACAAACACATGTAATAAGCGAAAAAGGACGACGTTCATCTGCATGCGGGGAAAAGCAACCAAGCTATCACGAACTTCTTATGTTATCGTTTTCCAACAAAACAAATCAGTAGATATGTATCCAGGAGACATGTAGTCAAATATATTTATGATTTTCCTTACACATAACAATTTTCTTGTAACTAGATTTTAAAACTAAAACAAAAATAAATAAATGGTAGTAGATCAAATGATTTGTATAAAGACTTCAAACTTGTATAGTAATAGCAAAGAGATAATTTGACTAATTTAAGCACCTAGACATCCGCAAGATCTAGTGAAGCCATTAGTCATCCTTACCTAATAAAAAGTTTAAACTGCGCTCATGAGAAAGAAAGAGGGGAGATCAAAAAACAAGAAATGCATGGGAGAGTAGGATGATAATACACGTGTCATTATGCTATTGCATGAAAAGTATACGTGTAAGCTCGTCACATAAAGTTTCTTCTCCCATCCTTCTTCCCTCTTCTTCTTCTTTCTCTCCCGGCCCTCGAGTCTCTCCCATGTTAAAAAATGTCCCAATGCTTTTCAATGTTTTTTTAATTGGCCATTTCACATTTCTCATATATTTTATTCCCAATTTGCTTCTTTCCTTTCCTTCTTCTTCTTCTTCCTTCTTTTTTAGTTTGCCGTCCAATCTCAACACCTTTGACGCTCTCTCCTTGTTGTTCCAACAACAACAACAACAAAAACCCTATCTCTTCTGACTTCTCTTCCCCCTCCTAAAACCACCGTGTATTTTGGTTTCCCGGTGAAACGTTCGATATCTTCCACAGTCTTTTTCTTTTTCCGGTGGTTGACTATTGACCTACTGCAATCTGAACGAAATAGTAAGAGAACGGATCAATCAACCAAGCTCTCCACAAATTCAACTTGATAATTTTTCCTCTCTTCTTATTTATCTTCTTGATCGTCTCTTTTCTCTGGATTCAATGACGGGATTTGGTTGAAACGACGATACAATATCCCCCCCAAGCAAAGTTGCGGTTATTTCATTTCCTTTTCCATTGATCTGTGTGTGCTTTTTTTCAAATCAAACGAAAAAATGCCTCACCGGACTACTTACTTCTTCCCGAGGCAGTTCCCCGACCGTGGCTTCGACTCCTTTTCTCATAAGAATGTTCACCACGAGAAGAAAACTTCGTCCAACGTTGGTGAGAGTTTCGGATTCGAAAGGGATAATAAATCTAATGGACTCGGCGACAAGGACAAGGAAACAACTGTCTTCTCATCTAATCCTCTGCTTTCTAAAAGCTCTGCAGTTTCAGATCTTTTTAGCGATGACGATCGCAAGTCTAAGCAACTAGCCGCTTTCTATGAGTGGTTGGCCGAGAAGAAGGCCAATTTATCTCGCTCTGCCGCTACTACTGGACGCGTTAAGCCTACGCGCCTCTCTATGTCTAGCGACGCCGATGAGGAGAGAGAGCTTCTGTTGTCTCAGGCTGATCCGCTTCCCGCTGCTGCTACTTCCCCTGATTCCATCATTGTGGCTTCGTCTTCTTCTGCTCGAGCGATTAGCATGAATGAACGGAACATTGATCGGAGCTTTGATAGGGAGGTTTCGCTTCCTCGACTGTCTAGTGAGAGCAGCTTTGCCGGGAGTTTCTTTTCCGGGACGACGGTTGACGGTAATTTCTCCAATTTCTCGAGTCCCACAGACGCAAGGGAAAGTTCGACCACCACGCGTGTCTCTGTGACCAAGGAGGAAGGAGAAGTTGAGGTCAGGGAAGAGGGCAAAGAGCAAAGCTTAGCGCAGAAGTCAAAAGAAGGCTATTACTTGCAAGTCACGCTTGCTAGGAGGTTAAGCTCCCAGGCTAACCTGGCCACTGAGTTGGTTCATACACAGAGCACTGAAACTGTCTCCTACCGTTTTTGGGTACGAACTCATATATCCATTTGACCTTTTGTCTCGAATAGGATTGTGATTTTTCTGTTTTCTCTATCTTGTTTTCCAGGTAAGCGGTTGTTTATCATACAGTGACAAAATATCAGATGGATTTTACAGCATACTAGGGATGGATCCGTATCTTTGGTTGATGTGTAACAATTCCGAAGAAGGAAAACGACTTCCATCTCTTTTGTTACTAAAGGGCACTGAGCCGACTGATACATCAATGGAAGTGGTTTTGTTTGACAGACGTGAGGACTCGCGACTTAAAGAACTGGAGGACAAGGCACATGAGCTGTATTGTTCTTCTGACAACATGTTACTGCGCGTGGAGAAACTTGGTAGACTTGTTGCTGTTTATATGGGGTACACTTTCTCTTCTCTGATCTTCAGTTTTCTCCGTGGGTTTAGTTTTCTAACACCAACTTCATAGTTGTGCATATATACACGTAAGATTTGTGTGCTGAGGTTTTAGAGATTTTAGGGGAAATTTCCAGATGGAGGAAGGTGATCTTCAGATACGATGGAAACTAGTTAGCAATAGACTCAAGGAATTTCGGAAGTGTATCATTCTTCCTATAGGTAGTTTGACGATGGGCCTTTGCCGGCATCGTGCCCTCTTATTCAAGGTGAGTCAGCCATGGACTTACATAGTAATAGAGAAAGCTAGACTCTGATGTTATTGGATATTGTTGACTTGTTTATCATGAATATGCAGAAATTGGCTGATTGCATAGGTTTACCATGCCGGATAGCTCGAGGTTGCAGGTACTGTAAAGAGGGCCACCAATCTTCTTGCCTTGTCAAGATTGACGATGACAGGAAGATTACAAGGTTTGATATATAGGCTTCCCATTGGTTTTTTTTGTTTTACTCTCTGTCTACTTAACTACAGCCAGATTTCTCAGTGGGTTTACATATATATAAGTAGACTTTCAGGCAGTAAGCAAAAACTCTAATATTTAATTCCTGCACTGGTAGAATTTCATGGCATGGTGTTTAGGAAGTTCCTACTTGCTTCTATTTTAAAACAACTATTGATTCTTTATGTTTTACTAACAGATGGGTCTCTCCTCTCCAGGGGTCTAGTACTTGTGTATGTTCTTGATTCTGTGCTTACAAATAGTTGCTAGCTCCTGATAACCATTGAATTATTATTTTTGAGCTTAATTATGTTCCACATTCTGAGTATACTTGATATCATTTCTCAACAGGGAATATGTAGTTGACCTTATTGGGGAACCAGGAAATGTCCATGATCCGGATTCCTCAATCAACGGTGGAAAACAGTGTCAGGTTCCTTCACCTCTTCGAATGAGTCATCTTACAGAATATTCCAGGCCTTGCCTGCATATTACATCTCCTTGTCAGGTTGTAGAGTCAAAGGCTTCGCGCGATGTTTCTGAAAATATTAAACGTTCAGGTAGGCTGCAGTTAGCAGAGTATGTAATACCATTATAATTCAAAATCGTTAGTCAATAGTACTTGAGGTAGAGATGGAAGAAGATTATGATACAATTATGCTAATTGAATTCTTGTAGGGAGTCAAAGCCATGTACACAAAGAAAACGAGTTGCCTGATATTACAACGGCCATATGTTGTGCTCATGTTGATCAAACTTGCTTCACTAAGACATCATCAGTCGTTTTGTCAGAGACAGTTCTTCGAGTTCTACCACTTGATATACCAAACCTTATTGAAGACAAGATAGCCTCACAAGAAACCTGCAAAGAAGAAAATATATTATTAGAAGATACAATTGAAAAAACTCCTATCAAGCAGCCAAAGGGAGACTTATCAGTTGAAGCAGAGATAACAGAAGCTGACACTCGAAAAGATAGAAAAGGCAGGTTACCTGTTGACGCCATCTCACCCTACTTGAATATTGAGCCTTCTTTGGCATCAGATTGGCTGGAGGTCGCATGGAATGAACTCCATATCAAAGAGCGTGTGGGTGCTGGTATGTCCTTCCTCCATGATTTTTTTTTAGTCTAGAAAATATTTTTCTGATATATTATCCAAATAACAACAACTCTTGTGAAATTTTATCTACGTTCTTTTCAGGATCATTTGGAACTGTGCATCGTGCTGAGTGGCATGGATCAGTAGGTTTCAAATTTAAAAAAGTTCATCATTTAGTAATGTGTTGAAGTAGCTCCCACTCTGATAGATTTTTCAGCACAAGATGCTAATTATGTTTTTGTTTATGATGAAGGATGTCGCTGTCAAGATTTTGTCTATACAAGACTTCCATGATGACCAATTCAGAGAATTTCTCAGAGAGGTATGTAAAGCTACTAGACTAATCTCTTTTGAATGACTAACTCCATGAGTTCACTCCATAACTCTCAATCCTGTGATTTCGATTGAAGGTTGCAATAATGAAACGTGTCCGTCACCCAAATGTTGTTCTCTTCATGGGTGCTGTGACAGAGCGACCCCGCTTGTCAATAATAACAGAATATTTACCGAGGTATTCCATCCGCATAGTTAACCAATGTGTTTAGGCCAAAGTCACAAAGTTGAACATATACATGATGTTTCATCTTAAACCTATGCGTTATCTTTTAGCTTATGTTTCTGTCTTACTCCTTATAACAGGGGTAGTCTTTTCCGCCTCATCCATAGGCCAGCTTCTGGGGAATTACTAGATCAGAGGAGGAGGCTACGTATGGCATTGGATGTGGCCAAGGGGCTCAACTACCTACACTGTCTTAATCCCCCTGTAGTGCATTGGGACCTAAAATCTCCAAATCTATTGGTTGATAAGAACTGGACAGTGAAGGTAATGATGTTAAACCAAAAAGAAAAAAACTGTAGTGATACGTAGCCTCCCATCGTCCCTTTCTTCTGTCTCAGCCTAACCTTTCCTCTGTCTCAGGTTTGCGATTTTGGGCTCTCAAGATTTAAGGCAAACACTTTCATACCATCAAAATCTGTTGCAGGAACAGTAAGCTTTCCTATGATTTAATTACTGTGAATATGGAAAAATTGTGTTTTGACATGTGAAACTTCTTCTCTTTGTCTGATTTAACAGCCTGAGTGGATGGCTCCAGAGTTCCTTAGAGGAGAGCCGACAAACGAGAAATCAGATGTTTACAGCTTCGGAGTAGTCCTATGGGAGTTGATTACGTTGCAACAGCCTTGGAATGGGCTCAGTCCTGCTCAGGTAACAAACATTCTCTCCCCACCTCGAAAATAACATATGATTCTTCAAAAGTGGTGTTCACACATGAGTCAAGTGAGATACCTTTAGTGTTAGTGTTTTGTTATAGTATATGGTTTGAATCTTGGTCTGGTGATTAGGTAGTTGGAGCAGTTGCATTCCAGAACAGGCGGCTTATAATTCCTCCCAATACCTCTCCGGTTTTGGTTTCCCTGATGGAAGCTTGCTGGGCAGATGAGCCGGCTCAACGGCCAGCATTTAGTGGCATAGTAGACACACTGAAGAAGCTACTAAAGTCTCCGGTGCAGCTGATCCAAATGGGCGGAGACAAAGGGGTAAATCTAGCTAAATCAGCTCCCATTCTTTAGTTTATAAACTTAACTCTTACGGTACTAACATAAACACTGTAGGTGCTTTGCGTTGATTAGCTCCTGAATTTGATTTTAAATTAGAAAAGTCAATGAGACGAGGCCTTGCCTGGAAGAATGGAAGGCTCTCTTTTTTTTTTTCTTTGTGTTTTTGTTTGTATAGTAAAGGTTTTTATATGCTCTTACTTGCGAGACAATGAATAAAACATTATGAGATATGGTTTCTTGAGGTTGGAGACCGTTGCATTTGCTGTAAATTTGCAATCCATGTATGTTGATTGGTAAAACAAAAGTAACAGAGAAAGTTCTTTATACGTTACTATTTGGTGTTTGATTATTCGGTTTCAAAACGTTTCCATCGAATCAAAACCCAAATCCATTTGGGTATCTTCGATTTTGAACAAAAGGATTCAGATTTATAGGGAATGTAACCTAAATTTGATAAATAAAGGGTCATAATAAGACTGTTAACTGTTACGAAACAAGCGACAACAACAACAACCATCATCAAGAGACCCCAAATCGCTTTGGGATTTGATGATGTTAAGAAACAATGACAACAACAACAACAACCATCATCAACAGACCCCAAATGCGATTTGGGGGACTTGATGATCTATGGATGTAGTAGACAAAAATTTGGCCCTATGATCTAATTCCCAAGTTTCTTGCCATTGAGCCATACAAGCTTTGGCACAACCTGGAGGACAAAAGAGCTGAATTCTTCCCCTGCAATCTCGTTTCCTGCTATATCTAATTGTTTCAGATTCAAATCTCTTAACACGAGATACGCATCCCAGTATTTGTTGACCAATCCCGGATTCTGTTTTCTTACATCATCCTGAATCCAGTCTGAATTAGAGAGCGGTGAAGAACAAAGGTACCGAGTTGTGTCCACTGAGTGCTTGCCGATGTGGTTATGTGAAACATCCAACACTTTCAGCTGCTTCACATGTCTTAGAGAGTCCAGCGCTGAAAAATTTCGGATTCTGTTGTGACTCATATTTAGGCAAGAGAGAAGTTGCATTGCCTCCAATCCTGCGAGTCCCACATACACCATTTAATCACATCTACCACACAGATGCAACAACTGAAATCAAGGAACTTACCTTCAGTTGAATGAAGCTCATTGTGACTAAGGTCTAACATTTGGACAAACAGCAATTTCTTGACAGAAGCTATCCGTGATAGTGATAAGTTATTTAGCCGGAGACATACAAGATTGTTCATATCCCTATACCGAAAAAGGTATCTTGACAAGGATTCACTGCTTGAAGTCACCTGCATGAACATTCTCTTTATGAGTAGTAGGCATGATCAAACAGAAATCTAATTTAGTTTAGAATCAAACAATCAGCATTACACTGTAGATGAGAATGTAGGGAAAATAATACATATTTTAACAGCAGAAGCTCAACTTGAGATTCACAACCAAAAGAAAGACTACGCACCTTGTGGAGAAAAGCTACGCTGTGCTCATCCTTGTAGTACTGGTGATGCGAAGAATCCAGAGACATCAATTCGTTATACAGCTGGAGGATTTCTTCATAGTAAACACCTTTAACAGCACCATCCGACATCATAGCTTCAGAAGCCATCAAAAGCCTCGCAAGAGTGAGCTTTCCAATTTTGCTATAAAAGGAAAAAGAGCACAAAGTTCAAGTCTCTAAACTACAATTTCTCATTCCCATCGAAATAAATGAAATATATTGGTTATACCTATCAGGTAACTGACGAAAACATTCAATCTCAGAATCTATAGCGGCCTGACGCCATTTTAAATCAATCCCAGCGTTTAGCTGATCCAAAGTGACAAGACAGTTCAAATTCTTTGACTGTGCATCCAAAAGTTCAAAACCATCCGTCCATGAAACAATGCCCTCTTGAGAGTCTTTGGCGGTATCATCAACATGCACTGTAAAGAAAAACTCATACGGAGTGCTGAAATTAAATCCTCTGGAAGAAACAATTCCTGGAATGTTCCCAAGCCTGACTTTCACTTCGTATTCCTTGCTTTCACAAGGTTCTGAATATTTCAGACGAGCAACCCATACACAAGAAACTTGAGAGCTTCGATTCGAAATTGGTTTCCAAACAAGGTTCTCGTTTCCCTTTAGTTCAGAATCAATTATAACAGTCAACGAGCTTACTCCACCAACAGCTTGGTCAAAGTAGAGAATCAGTGGAAAACACCCCGTCTCAGAACAAAAAGTAGTGGAGTTAGAAGAAGAGCCATTCAAGCACCCAGCTCCAGATAGACTGACACCGGAACCATGCGAAGGCCAAGAGGAAGTGAGAAGAGGAGACTCCATATTAACAGTTTGATCAAGAAGCCAAAGATGGTAAAACCAACCACTTTGGTCATCTGGGTCTGTAAAAATAGCTTGATGTACAAATTCATATTCTTCAGGAATCTTTTCATCTGGCATAAACCCATCAACCCTGTTTACTAGCAAACTTGAAAGAAGTACACTGCAGAATTTCAAATAACCAAAAAAGGTACATTGTTAGCTAATAGCGCCTCTGATTCAGGCATGTATATATGGTGATGTGCATAGGAACACCTTAACGGTGTTTACTGAATCGAGAAGCTATAGTAACTAAGCCTTAGCTTGTGTAAGTATTCCATTAATATGTGGTAATAATATCAACCAAATAATAAACAAGCCAAGTAATCCAAAAATGAATGTGCCATCTAAGAAAGCTTCATATTGTCCATGATCAAATGCATTCAACCAGGGATGAACTCCATTTTTGCACTATTAACTACTTTGGTTCGAGGCATGTGACTATCAATCTAATGCTTCGGATTCTTAGAAAAGAAAAATAATTTTGAACATGTAAAATAGAGTTTCCATATAATTTACGATATAATCATGCGTACCTACGATTATGCCATGCAGAATAGTTGCTGAAATCTTTACTGATTTTATCATCTGTATACTGCAACTCATCCTGTTCTGACCTGTTGGTTAGCTCTACAACAAACCTGAAAAGAAACAACACATTTACTATGTAAGACATACACAATGCGCCTTAAAAAGAGTGTTGAGATTCCATAATTTTCACCTGCGATAATTCCAAGCATGAAAATTTCTGGGATCCAGCCTCTGGAGTTTATCCAACAGTACCAATTCATTCCCTGTGGAGGAATGCCCTTGACTCAAAACCCACTTTCGATGATGCCAAGCACCATAGGACTTAAAATTCTGCTTCAAAGCACTTTCTACCTGAGTTTAGAACAGAATTCACAGCAATCAATGAGCAGATACTGACATGAAGAGAGAAACTTGTTTCTTTCTTTACTTATTGGCAGGAAAACTCACCACTATGAGTTCTTCATTAAGAATTGTTTTGACCAAGTTTGGATCAGCACCAATTCTGGAAAGGCTATCCTCCACCGCAAGCTTCCGATAGTTCCATGCCGTGTACGCTTCAGGATTGATTTCTAGAAGCTTCGCGCTCAATTCCATAGCTTCCTTGGTATAACTAGAAAACCAAAAATTCCAGAACATACAAGTAGATGAACAAATAATTCTGTAAATTGAACTAAACTTTTGACAAATAAACTGATCAAATCGAAATGAAGAGAGAAGATTGTACATTTTTTCGTGATGATAAGCCATAAACTGAGACTGAAGAGACCGAAGCTTAACCGCTTTAGCAGCAGAGGCTGCTTCCTCTTCAGGCTTAGAAGACTTCCTTGGACGGCCGTGCATTCTTCTCCGCCGAATGCGAGAGTGGGATTCAACTTCTCCGTAAATCTGATCAGAAATTCTATATATAACTTATAAATCTATAAGACAAACACTAGATCGAGAAAAATCTAAGTGTGATCCAAATCTAGAAAAAAAAAACAGAGATGAATAAACTAAGAAGAAACAGGTCACCTGAAAGGAGCACGGTAGCGGCGTCGATCGAGAACGAACAACTGAGACGAGACTTTCGTTTGTTTTCGTGCAATTTATTAACAGATTGAGGGAACCATCTATTGGGTCCGGTTTAGTGATTTCAATCGCCGTAAACTAGTGAACCGGCTTTAATTGCAAAATACGGTTGAACACGAACCGGATTCTGGGAGTCTTCTTCGTTTTATGTTAGTGAAGGCTTTTTTGTTTCAGTTCAGGGTTTTCAATCCGACCTTTGGCGACGAGGAAGTGAAGATTTTTGGGGGAAACAGTACCTTGTGAAGGTTCGCAATCATGCTCAATTTTATTTTGCGATAAGTGGAGAATTTGGTGTTTTAGGGTCAGATTGTTTCTGTTTCTAATGATTTTACGTTGTAGCTCGTCTTTGGGATTGATTTTTAAAAAACTCTCCTTGTGGAATTTGTAGTGGATTCACCTGAGTAACACAATGGAAGATTCAGAGAAAAGGAAACAAATGTTAAAAGCAATGCGGATGGAAGCTGCTGCACAGAATGATGATGGTTCTACAGGTCTTGAAACCTCCGGGGACACAGCTCACCTATCCAATCCCTTGGCAGAGACATCCACTCACCAGCAGGATTCTTGTGAAACGCCAAGGTTTGATTATTACACAGACCCCATGTCTGCCTACTCTAGTTTCAAGAGGAACAAGACCCCTAAGCAACAATACGTCTCCTCTCCTCATCATCAAACCAGCTCTCCAGTACCACCGCCACAATTTCCACCGTCTGTTCCAGGTTCTTGTTTTCTCAGACTCTTGCTTGTTTCTGCTTTAATACCCTTATTTTCATTTTGGCTATATTCGAGTGAGCCAGAAGAAAGTAGTCCGCTGACCAAGTAGATTGCTTTATACCATGTCAGGTTAACTTACTCTGTGTTAGATAGCATGCTAGTTGGTTCTTGGTGAGTATAAGTATAGGATTGAATATATTCAGGAATTCAGTTGTGGTATTATCTGGCTTTGGGAGAGTTAGGTGGTATCTTCATAAAATCTTTAAGATATTTTTGTTCATTGTTAGTGTTTAGTCATGTGTTCTTGATTGTAATCGATAGTTCAAAATCATTGAAAGAAGAAAAAATTTCAATCTCATCAGGATAAACTTATTAACTTCAGCTACCTTAATTTGATATATCCCTTTATGTTTCACTTTCTAGCAATTGACAGTACTATGTTCACATCAGTTACAGAAATTCATTTATCGTTTGTGTTCTCTGTCTGACAATGACCAGTAATCTAGTTCTGATCCTTGCATTATAATTGTGAACAGGATCGTTGGGCAGTGAGTATCAAGCACATACCAATCATGGTGGTTTTCAAGCATCTCATTATGATGGTAATAATCTGCATACCGGACCAAGAGGGATGGGTCATCTTTCACCCTCACACAGAGGTTCACCCGTCGCTTGGAATAATAACTATAGGCCTCCACCAGTTAACCATTTAGGTCCACCTCAATGGGTACCTCGCCCTTTTCCATTCTCTCAAGAGATTCCTGACATGGGGAATAATAGATTTGGTGGCCGAGGCAGCTACAACAATACTGCTCCACAATTTTCCCACTACGGACGACAAAACTCTAACTGGGTTGGAAACACATATCCTAACTCAGGAAGAGGTAGAAGCCGAGGACGCGGTATGAACACAAGCTTTGGGAGAGATGGAGGAAGAAGACCCATGGAACTAGGGGCAGAACGATTTTACTCCAACTCCATGGCTGAAGATCCATGGAAGTATCTTAAGCCAGTCTTATGGAAGGGTTGCTCAGATGCTTGTAGTAGCAACTCAACAAGTCAATCCTGGCTTCCCAATTCTATAGCACCAAAAAAATCTGTGAACTCAGAAGCTTCCCACAAAGCTAGCAATAATCAGCAGAGTCTTGCTGAGTACCTCGCTGCTTCTCTAGATGAGGCTACAGGCGATGAGTCAAGCAATTGATCAGGACAATTGGCCTGGTGAATACATCAAGTACAAGCATCTGGAGTACCATCAGAATACCCGGAAAGATCACCGATGACTCTTTGGAACCAGGTATCAATGACTGTGTTCATTTTATTAACGAGACACAACAGCAAATGATGATCATATTGGAGTGCCCAATTAGGAGTTGAATGGTGGTTTCCATAGGGGGTGTTCTCCACTAAACTATTTAGTTTTTTTGTTCTTTCGCTCAAATTTTAGTTACTCTGCAATTTTTGTAAAATCATTATCAGGAGAATTGTTGCGTGGTTGTGTTTGAGTTGGCCCGCATTCGTATTCTTATCATTTATGCTACCAAGATACTGAATTTTGTTTTATTTGGATTCATGCAATTTTTAAGTAAAACTAATTACAGTACTAATAGTATATTGTAAAACCGAATTAAACAATCCTAGTTGGCTACAAGAGGTACATGTGCGTTTACTACTTGAAGCCTTGTGACAATAGTGAATGTAATAAAGGGTGGTCGTTGTTGGATGGATCTGATCACATAACTGTCCAAACCCTGTAGTTGCTAAACACCCAAATCCCACCAACATTTAATGTTGCCGTCACCGAAACAGGTGTCCGGTCCCAACTGTCCTTCATCATGATACCCATACCTATTCTCAACTCAACTTTCTTCCCAAACTCAATTAGAAAACTTTGGTATTTTATATAACACATCCTATTCAGGCACAGTAGCTGCACATCAGCTCTCTATCTCTAAACAAAAGAATATGGAGACAAGCCCAGTGACCGGTGTCAGGCTCTCTTCGGTGGTGCCTGCTTCTGTGGTTGGCGAGAACAAGCCACGAAAGCTTACCCCCATGGACTTAGCCATGAAGCTCCACTACGTCCGTGCCGTCTACTTTTTCAAGGGTAGACGTGACTTTACCGTCTCCGACTTGAAGACCACCATGTTTACTCTACTCCAATCTTACCATCACGTCTCGGGTCGGATCCGCATGCCTGAAAACGACGACGACCCTTCTGCTCTAGCCTTGCCTTACATTCGTTGCAACGACAGTGGCATACGCATCGTCGAGGCCAACGTCGAAGATTTCACAGTGGAGAAGTGGCTCGACTTGGACGATCGTTCCATTGACCACCGGTTCCTTGTCTATGATCACGTTCTTGGTCCTGATCTTATCTTCTCTCCACTCGTTTTCCTCCAGGTACAACACACACGTACACAAAATTTAGTTTTTATGGATTAATAAATTTCCCATGCAGGGGAATAAATAATGTTGTAAAGCAAATCTTTAGTAGTTACTATCAATTAAGTATCAAACATTCATTTGAAATTATTTCCATACGTTATATTAATTAGGGAATGAATCATAAATAAAATTGTGGAAGAGGAAATAAATCTTTTGTCACATGTGAAATTGAGTCTTTAGTATTGGTCTTTACTGGATCTTTTTATAAAACTTTGAATATCGTTTTTCAGATAACTCAGTTTAAATGTGGCGGGTTCTCTATTGGGCTGAGTTGGACCCATGTTCTAGGAGATGTGTTTTCAGCATCTACGTTCATGAAAACACTTGGACAGCTAATGTCCGGTCATGGCCTACCCGAACTCGTTTACCCGGAACCCCTTGAACTGACCTCTCATGCTCATAATGGTGAAGCTATTTCCATGAAAAAGATAGAATCGGTTGGCAAGTATTGGTTACTTACCAATAAATGTAAGATGGGGAGATACATTTTTAATTTTAGCCTCAGCCAAATTGATCGTTTGATGGCCAAGTACACCGCGCAAGACCAACCTCTTTCGGAGATTGATATTCTCTATGCATTGATATGGAAGGCGCTACTGAACATCCGTGGCGATACAGCCACAAATGTTATAACCATTTGTGACCGTAAGAAAACTACAACCTGTTGGAATGATGACTTGGTAATAAGCGTAGTGGAGAGAAAGGACGAACCAATTGGGATATCCGAACTAGCTAAACTGATTGCGGGTGGGAAAAGAGAAGAAAACGGTGTGATCAAGCGGATGATAGAAGAAGATGGAGGCTCTTCAGATTTTATCACGTACGGTGCAAACTTGACGTTTGTGAATCTTGACATGGCAGATATGTACGAGTTTGAGATCAAAGGGGGGAAGCCAGATTTCGTGAACTACACGATTCAAGGGGTCGGTGAAAAAGGTGTTGTTTTGGTTTTCCCCAAGGAAAAGCATGCAAGGATAGTGAGTGTGGTGATGCCTGAAGAAGAACTTGCAAAACTCAAGGATGAGGTGGCTAATATGATTATGTAACTTTGTATCTCTAGCTTGTTCTTGTGGTGTGCAACTACTATTTTCATTATTTACACTTCGTAATTTTTATTGGCATATTCGATATTTCTTTCGACTCTTCTTGTATTTGTGGCGAAATTGATTATCCAAATTGTTGGGAAGCCTAAATAAAAATGTGTTTTCGTCATTTACTTTCCCCGTGGCCAGACATTCATTTAAAATTGTATTTTTGGAATTGGTGATGGATCAGTATTGAATTGCAATAAAAAAATATGTAGTTTCTCTCACTCTCAGACTTGATTTTGATGTGATCTCCAACTAGAAAAAATTATAAGTAACAACTAATGTGGGTCTTGGACTATTAATGATACCAAATATTTTATTTGTATCATTATGTTATGTCTATTTATTTTGAAGTAGGATGGGATATGGAGTTTTTGTAGCGTGAAGTAAAAAAGAATGAGATGAAAGAGAGACACTATGCAGATTGCAAAAAAGGGATTTACAGAAGTTGTACGGATGTTAACGACTAATTAATGGCACACCATTTCAGAGGAGGAATGTTAATGTTCTCAGCTTGCATTCGATTTTTAAACCTAAACTAGTTTTATGTGCTGACAAAGACCAAACACCAATGAGATGTACAGTAACTTAACTACTTAAGCAATATAGTAGCATGCTTAATATACACATTCGTTGTGAGTGGGTATTGAATGAAATCACGTACACGGAGGAATTGACTATCCAACACGAAAAAGATGGGTTTGATTGAGGTTAATTGATGGAGTTTAGATCAAGACGTTTGCCTAACATACTCCAACGGGATATTGCAACAAATTTGATCTCCATGTCAAAAAAAAAACATTCTCACTTATTAATTCCTCAATTACACATGAGGAATTATTGTTTGGTGTCTACATTCGTAAACTGGGCATGATAGACACAAAACAGAATGATACATAGATTATAGAGCGAACAGAGATTGTCACTGACTCACTGTGTTTACTATGACTGCGTTTACCATCGACACTATAAAGTATAAAGGCATGGACTATAATAAAATCTTTTCGCTCTCCAGATTTATTTTATAGTTTATATTTTTGTTCATACAAAGACAACTTTGACAAACCACCATTCATGTTTGACTATAAATAAGCAAGTAGGAAAGAAGGGAGATTGAGAGAAACTAAACAAATAAATATCTAATTGGTAAAAAAAAAGAAGTCTTCGTTTCAAGAAACCTTGAAAAGGCAGAAAATTCCAATTAATCAAAATCACCAGACATCTCTCAGGTATCTTCCTTCAGTTTGAAGTTTCTTAACTATAGCCTCTGCCTCTGACGAACTCACACCTTCCTGGAAATTTGTAAAATAAAATCGTTGGGTCAATCTTCCAAGGAAGTAAACCAAGTCAAATACTAAAAATTCTAACAATGCTTCTTGTTCATACCTGCTCTATAACAATGGTGTGTAGAGTTCGGTGGACATCCTTCGCCATGCCCTTAGCATCACCACATACATAGAGATATCCTCCTTCCTGTATTAAATTCCAAACTTGTGCTGCCTGAACACAGATGAAATGCAAAACGAATCAGATTATTTGACATTCCTTTTCTCAAAACATGATGCATCCCTCCATATACAGTACTTACCTTCTCCATCATCTTATGTTGAACATACTCCTTCTGTGCTCCCTCACGCGAGAATGCCACAATGAGCTCAGATATTACGCCTTGATCAACAAAATTCTTTAGCTCATCCTCGTATATAAAATCCTGCAACATAAACATATGCAGCAGCTCAACATGATGACTCAGCAAATGACGAAATTGCTGTTTAAAAGTCTCACCATCCGTCGATTTCTACACCCAAAGAAGAGCAAAGATGAACCTAGTTCTTCTCCATTTTCTTTTAGTGCCATCCTTTCCTGCAGAAACCCTCTAAAAGGTGCAAAGCCAGTCCCAGGTCCCACCATAACGATTGGAGTTGAAGGGTTGGACGGTAACTTGAAATTAGATGATCGAATAAAGATTGGGGCTCCACTACATTCATGACTTTTCTCCGCAGGAACTGCATTCTGAGTTTTCAAAACTATTACAAAAACTAAACAGTGAATTGGTGGATACTAAAAGAGAAGGTAAGAAGTACCTTCATCCATGTCGAACACACCCCCTTGTGGATTCTACCAGTAGGAGTTGGACCATATACCAGTGCGGATGTAACATGAACTCTACTTGGCATTAATCTGAATTATAAAAAAAAAAAATAAGAGAGATATCGAAAAACAAGGGTAGTTTTCCTTCTGCCACAACAGATATCTCAAAAAGAATTAAATTACCTCGGCGAAGAGGAGATGGAGTAGTAACGAGGTTGTAGACGAGGAGCTATTGCAGCAAAAAATACACCTAGTGGGGGTTTTGCAGATGGAAAAGCAGCCATCACCTCTAACAGACTTCTCTGACTTGCAACAATCCATTGTGAATACTCATCCTACAGTAAAGAAACCGACTGTTTTAACTAATGAGAACTTAAAATCAAGAGAAAAATAGACACTCCAGTAATTCGCAACCTTTCCATCAGGTGATGTCAGGTTTTTGAGTTTCTTGGCTTCGCTTGGTTCAGTGGCATAGGCCGCCAAGGCAACTAACGCAGACTGAAACAAACAAAAAAATGTTTAATATTTGGGATAAGCAAAGACCAAAGCAACCACAAAAATTAATGTGAGGCTAATCACAAAATATAGATGTTAACCTTTCGAGGAGGGTTCAAAAGGTCTGTGTATCTTGCCAAAGCAGTCCCAAGTGTGCATGGACCAGGGAAAGGAGGCGGCACTGCGCTTCCTAACGGGGAGCCATCTTCCTTATCAGCATGTATGGAAAATACTAAATCTAGAGAGTGGCCAAGCAATTTTCCAGCTTCTTCAACTATTTCAACATGATTTTCCGCATATACACCTACATGGTCTCCTGTTTCATATCTGAAAGAAATGCAATAGTTTTTATAGGTGGGTTTCCAGTGGTGAAATTTTTACAGGAAAAATCAACTATTGACTAAAAACATCGAAATCAACATGTCAATGTAAAAGCACACACAGAAAACTAATGTTATTGCAGAAAAAATATTGAAGCTATTCAATGTGAAAGTTTTTTTTCACATGACCCAATGTGACTGATATTTAAACCTATATAGTCCTTGTAATAAAACTCAAGAGATTGACATAGTCCTACTAACTGAAAGAAAAAATTGAATTTAAAGCAAAATCTCCCAGTTCACTCTAATATAAAAACAAATAGTCTACGAGAGTTGGGATAACTGGACTGCCTTGTTTTAATTCAAGGGTAGAATGCAATAAATTATGTTTGGATACTTACGTAATAGCAGTCCCTGATATGTCGAACTCGAGATGGATGCAAGACCGATCAGATTCAGGTGTATGAAGCTCCCTCTGCACAGCAACATCAACTCTGTTTGGAAGGAGAAGCAATTTTTAGAATGTAACCGAAACTGTAATACTATTCCAGTATTTATAGCACACATCTTTACAATACCTGAAGGGATGATGAATGTCAATTGCAGTATTTCCGTTGGCCACATTTGAGTCCATTGATTTCTCGGATGTAAAACTAGGATCATGAATCACCAGCCGGTATTCAGGAATAACAGCTGTATAGGGAGTTACCACACTTATATCATCCTCGTCCCTGAGAACCTTGTCTAGTTTAGACCATAACGATTCCTTCCTACAAAGCACAAAAAGCATGAATAATACAGTATTGCGACCCTTACGAACACATTAAACAAGTCAACTCTGAAGACTGTAGAGTCATTGTCTACAGGAATACAGTAAAAGGACTAGAGAAAGTCTTTCAAAAGAGAGAACAAAAAGCAGAGACTCAGAAACAAACCAGGCATTAAAATCATCCTCGATGCTCTGATCATCATCTCCTAGACCAACTTCAGTAAGGCGCTTTGCACCTGCATTGAGTGATGATACCAGTTACGTTTTACCTCATGCACCAAAGAGACTAGGAAATGGGGATCCATGTAGCCAGACAGGAAAGAGGAAACATTTGGCACTATCTTAGGTAAAAACATAGCATAAATATTTCCTGCGCCCTCATTCCAATATGGCAATATCTAGTATTACCCACGACTGTAAACATACTCGTGTTCGCATACCTTTCTTACAAAGCTCTTCATCAAGAACTATCCCAATCTGGTCCAAGAAAATTACCGTCAGATAAGATCAGAAGAAAATCAATAAGATAGACAGAAGCATTTTCTCACAAGCTACCTTATTAAAGTGTTCATACTGGCGATTACCAAGAGCAAACACACCATATGTTAGTTGTGGAAGACTTATATCCCGTTCATTTTCCTGGAAACATGCACACAGAGTATTGAGGCTACAAACCTCTGTAAAAATCTACACAGAGCAAATCAAATCAAATCTAAAATAAAAATAAACTTCCGCTTCGATATATTTCAGGACAAACCTCCGTAAACCATTTGTAAAATCTAGCAGCATTGTCAGTAGGCTCTCCGTCTCCATAACTAAAATACGTAATGAAATAAATGAATGAATCAAACTATTGGATGGTTAGATCGCAAAAAGAAATCATAATCGGATTGGATAAATCTTACGTAGCAACACAAAAAAATGCCAAAGATTCCTTCTTCAATTTCTCTTCATATTGGTCATCATCAGCAGCATAGTCATCCTAGTTAAACACATACACCAGCAAAGGAACAATTCAATATAGGGTAGTTTAAACTAGTGGAAAGTGAATAGAAATCATACTGCAGGCAGATCATACCAAGTCAATGACTCTGACAGAGGCTTTTTCATATCTGGCTTTGATTTCTTCTGATAATGCCTACCAAACAAAATGAAACTGTTTCTGAAATGACCCGACTCACAAAGAACCAACCAATATTTGAATCACACCAATTTTTGAATCATATAGATCAAATTACAACTCTAAAGAGTTATATAGAGCAGTCAAAGCACCTTAGCAAATCCCTCAGCAGTTCCAGTCTGAGTACCGAAGAAGATAGAGACTCTAGTCTTGCCGGATCCCAAATCCACATCGTCGTCGTCGTCCTTAGACATAAGAGACTTAGGGATGACCAAAGGCTTAAGCTCCCGGCTCTGATCCGCCGTAGATTTCCTCCATAACAAAACAACAAAGCCAGCTACAAGAGCCAAAGAAGTGGTTGCAATCACAAGGACGACGTCGTCCGAAATCGAATCGGTCCCAATAATTGACTTGAGCTGCTTGAACAAATCGGAAGCATACAAAGCAGAGGTCATCTTCGTCTCGATTGAGAAGCTTCCCCGTCAGTCAACTCTCTCTCTCCAGGGTTTGAGGGATACAGGGGAGAGATCGAAGAGGAAGAGGAAGCACCGAAGCAGAGAGAGTTGCAGAGGAAGCAAAGAGGGGCTTATTTTGTGTGTGTGTCTTGTGTTGTGTTGTGTTTTCGGTGGTGGGGCGTTGAATCTGTGTGGGCCCCCCTTACTTTTCTTATTGACTTTTCCTTTTTTATTTTCTTACCTTTGTCCCAAAAAAAACACTTTCACCCTAATTTTTTTTTTATGCTAATTTTTTTTTGTCATAACTAATTACAGTAGTCGAATATAAAATCATTTTTTTTATAAAAAAATAAATTGCATGGTTGTCTAATGTCTAGGCCCCCTTTTGAAGAGTATAAGTTTGTATAAACCATATCATTTATAAATTTTGGTTGGTGGTAATAAGAATCTGAGGCAGATTGCGAATCCGTTTAATGAAAGGAAAAAAATAGATTTGATCAGTAGCAAATCATTGTCCGTCCACTCCAAAAATAGAACTTCCATTCAAAGTTTGGTAACAGTGTTGTATGAGTATGCATGCAATTGCAAACATATTAGTTTCTTCACTTTTGCGTTCAAAGTAAAACCTTTTTTTATCAAGACAAAAGGGTATATTACTATATTGTATGAGTTCCTCAGCTAAAAAAAACAATCATATCTTAGAAAGAAAGATCAGTACAGATTGGGGACAAAAAAGGTGAAAGCTAAGCTACTTTACACATGCAATCAGGAGCTGGATAAGTGTATATAGACTGCTTCTGCTTGCGTAGACGAAGCTGCCCATGCCTGTTCTTGTGCCCATTCACTACTGCTCCTTCGAACTCAGACCAGTCTAAGCTCTTGTTCACTAATACCTGTCCTAACAGTATCATGTTGGGTCTTATGGTTTTCAGATTCAAGTAGGCTCTGTGTGCCAGCAATGCGTTGTGCATATTCCCAGGAGATGCCGATATGAAGATATCGCTCTTCATGCTCACGTAGTAATCGACTGCCGCCATTAGAGAAGCTTTTCCTTCTACATCTGCCAGTTCCTCTGCAGAGGCTAGGCTTTTCTTGTTTTCCACCCCTGGGAACAGCTTACGCAGGGTCGAGATTCTTGCTTCTCCTCCGTATACCTGGTGTGAAGCTAGATAGAGACGGGTATTGTTACTGAAACCCAAAGCTGAAAGCAGTAAACCAATCTCTTCTGGTGTCAATGGGCACCGTCCTTTGTTTCTTAGCTCCTCATCTGTGAACTGTGAATTTAAGACCCGTCCTTGCCAAATCACCTGACGATATTTTGCCAGCGCCAGTTTCTCTGCTTTGCCACCTTCAAAGTCACAACCTGAATGAGCAGCCATATCCTGAAAATTACACAAAATTATGTCAACTAGGAACTACTGCCAGGAATTGAGCACATTTTTGAGAATGAATATCATACTTTGTCAAAACGAAGATGAAGCACTGCAAACTTTCCAGCTCCAGCTTTTACGATGGTGTTTATTCTGTCTGTTGGATCCATAGTTCCTGATGCTCGAGAGATGGAAGGAGGATACCTTAGTCGATGCACAAGAGCGTCTCCTAGCTCTTGAATACGAGGAACAAAGTTTAATGCATCAAAATTTACTTTACACCGTAACCGCTGTATACTTTCAGGCAAATTGTCAAATGCCAAACGGTGAGAGAAAGGCGCAACAGCAGCGATGCCATAACTGCAGATAAGAGTGGATAATTCATATTAGTAACAGTGCACTGAACTATTGCAAAATTTAGTTCCTCCAATAGCCAAAAACACACATGTCGTCAATCATCTATGAAAAATTTAAAAATTGTTACTTCACAGGAAATCATCTGCATGAAACACCCTTTAACTTTGTCTATAAAGCATTTCACACGTCATCTATAGTATCATATTTTCCAGGACATAACAATACAGCCATTCCTGATCACTAGGTTTAGAGGCCACAAACCTCTGAATAACGGGCAATACATTTTCCAAATACCACTCTGCTGAAGCGTGAACAGGCGCAGTCTTAATCCTAGTAGCTCGAATACCTGTGGCATAATAATCACGCGTGCTCCAGGCATACTGTGTTGGAAGATCTCTAACAATCCGCACCTCGTCTTTAAGGACACTTATATAGTGCTCCACATCAAATATATCTGTGAAGGAACTACAAAGAAATGCCATTTCATTAACAACAGAATTCATCAAGGTACCAGCAACTTGAAGTTTCATAGTAGACTCATCAAATACAGTACCTTGAATCTTGCCAAACAGGATTTACTTCAAGGCGTGGAATCACAAGTGTAACGTTCATAATCTTGGCAACAGCAACAGCATCACATATCTGCAGAAACAACAGGAAAAGTCACAAGGGGAACCACCATAAAACTCTATATAAAATTGACAGCTGCATAACAAACCAGATGCTACTCACCCCCATCCTTTGTTGATTTAGTCCGCCGTCAAGGAATACCTGAAGAAACCCTTGAGACTTCTCCGGTAAGGCTGTAATGAGTGACGAATACGTCAATCAAATTTACAAACTTTTCAGGGCACATAAATGTAAACGATGAGAAAAGAAGAAAGCTTTGATTTTAGAAACTTACGAGACCCTCTATAAGATAGAGTGCAAGGCTTCCAACCTTGATCTGGCAAGGGAGACCATAACTCAACCTGTTGTCTGATCGACTGCCCATTGGTTCGAGGTAGACCAAAATGTTAAAAGGAAGATACATAGATAAATCAGAGAAACTGAGGCAAAAAAAAAACCCACTTACAATTTGTCGATCAAGAGCGCCTTGGAGCAAGCGCAAATGTCTAGGCCTTGGAGCATTCCATTCCTGCAAATGTTGCCAACATTACTTTAGCTTCACAGTCTCAATATATGAAATCGAAGAAAAGTAATATTCATCTCCCCAAATGGATCAAAGAGAGAGACTGACGGAGAAGAGAGAAGGAGAGGCGCGGCCAAGAGGGCGGAAGAGATTCGGGGACAAAATCGGGAGAAGGAGCACGAAAACACCAGCAAGAGCTGTCTTCTGCGACTGATTAAGGTTCTGCAATGGCTGAAGCTGCTTCATTTGGAGCATCGATTCAAGTTCAACAAACAAAGTGGAACGATAAAAGACAACCCCTTATTCTAAAATCAGCGACGAACGAATAAAAGACCAAACTTTGTCGGTGTATCTTCTCATCCTGAGCATATCTTCTTGATCCGGAAGTTTGGGAAAATCCAAATTGTTGAAATCTGATGAAAGCACGGCAGTACTTGAAACTGGTAACAGAGATGAACCGAAACAGAGATAAAAGACGGGAGATCCAAATTTTAGGACACGAGTTGATACTTCCGGTTCTGATTGGAGAGAGTCTCCTCGGGTATATGAGTCAAAATTGCTGCAATGCAATTTCAGATCACTTGTAGTGAAAAACAAAAATAAAAAAAAATAAAATTGGGCAGCTATAAAAAACTATATTATTTCGCCTCTAGTTTTCTTATGATTTAGGATTGCTGTTTAGCTTGTGAATCGTAATAGTTTGGTATTAGTCGATATGTGTCGCATTTCCTTATTATGCGCATTCATCATATATCAAATGCCATTGATTGGGATTATTTATATAGGGTGCATAATAATTAGATTAAATCTCAAGCATGTTAAGAGGCCCTATATTTGTCAGTTTCAAATCTTGCATTACATATTGTATATGATTACGTCGAGTTTCATCATCTTCCTTTCCTTATTTCTTTACCCTGAAAGACAAATAAGTCAATGCATGTTACACTTTCATCAGACAAAAGAAAAAAACACCATTACTAAGATCAGATGGAAATGATGAAGCCTAAAACATAGTATTAGGGGGCAACACTAAAAGAATATTTCGCTTGCTAAATGATGAATGAAGCAAAATAAATGGGGTTTAAGGATTAAAGAATACAGCATTGTTTTTTCTTTGGTGCAAAATAGTTATATAAACAAACAAAAAAAAAAAACAATAACACAATAATGTCTGAAACTTGATTCTTCGCATTAATGTAATGAGAATTCATTCAGTAGTACTCTTCCCATCTCAATTTTTTTCAACACTTATTCAAAGGAAAGAACTGAGGAAAAGGTAAGACTTAATATTTGTGGGATTCCATCGTAGTCAACTCTGCTACAGATCTCTCTCTTCACGATTCATTCCCAAGATGGAAGCCTACCCAGACTAAAATTAGTAACATCCACACACAACATACATGCCAGTAAATTATAATTATGGTATGATGTTCATGAAATATACCCAAGCTTCAGGGAAGTGTCGGATTCATCCTCAAGAGGAGCTCCACTGTCGTAGCTTGACAAGTTTGTGGTCGCCGATTCTGTCTCCACAGCCTCCTTCGAGGCCATCATTTTTGCCCTTTCAAACGTCTCTAGCTGTCCATATATACGTTACCTCAACTTCTATATATACAGTACTTCAAAAATGCTGATTAATTAATATAGATGATTTCAGCAAGGGTATAGAGCCATACTTTCTCCCTCAGTCTCTTATTCTCATCCACCAATTCCGATCCCTGAGTCACATATTAATGATCAAGTCATATATTATATATATATATATAGATAGGCCTATCATTTCCATAACTAATACGAATTGAACGTCGTACTAACCCGTTTCTCAAGTGAAGAAATCTGGCTCATCACACACTCGCCCTATTTACCAACAATATTGTCACACTTTTATATATGATTACATTCCAATTTTCACGTTAAGGATATATGCATGCTATGTATACTTATAGTAAACCTTTTTCTCAGTCACACGGCTAAGTCCGGATTCAAGCATTTTCTCCAGCCGCTGCAACTCCTCTAAGTTCAATCCATCCAGATCTTCTCCTCTCAGTTTTCTGTTTTACGTTAAATATATATACAACATATTACTTTCTTCGATTTTATTTGAATACTCAAAACTACATCAAACACATACACACATTTCTACCGAAGTATGGTTAGACCCAGCTTTCAGAAATTGATCTAGCGAATCATATATCGGCTCATTGTGTCTACCAAACAAAAATATACTCCACCTAGCTAGCTATATATATTGGCTGTTGATAGCTACGTACATTACATAGGATTGTGTTTTAATAAAAATGAGAATAATCAATGACTGAAAACTACAAAACCCATGTATTTTTTTTCAGAAATAACGTTACAAAATCTATAAACAAAACATCAATTTCCAAGGCACACCGTAAAAGGAAGAATTAACCTACTCATGAAATGTAATAATTAACTTTGTTTTTCTTCTAGCTAGCTGATATATATAGATTCTAAAGCCTAGTATAAGTAACATTCGCACATCATTGTCAAAACATAAAAACCACACACGTGAATGGAGCCATACCGTAGCTGTTTGGTTTTGTCTTCGATTTCCTTACTTAGTCTGGAGAGGTTACAGTTCTCAAGCTGCTAGATGCAAAGTCAATATTTTCAGGATTCTTGATATTGATATGTAAAAACCAATTAATTAGATGCTTCAAGATTAATTAATGATGCATGCTATGCCACTCTTTGTTTCTATGTTTAGACATACACCCAAAAACTAAAACAAAGACGAGTGGTAGTAAGAATACCTGGAGATGAGTGGAAGGTGGATCCATCATTTTGTTGATGTTACTTGCATGAAGGTTATACTTTCCCAATATGTCTCTCATTCTACACGTTTCAACAAACAACCCATCTTTTATATGAACCTTTCCTTCGTCTATATATGCATTTGTAAAATTACTTTATTAAATAATATGTACACGGCCACAAGCCTTTTCTTAACTTATAATAAATAAAAAAGTAATCAGAAGTAGCTATCAAGTCAAAAATATGTGCAGATAACATCAATTAGATGACTCCATTCCCAATTATGGTAATGCTTCCCAAGATAAAATAAACGAGTGGTTAAGACTTAAACCTCAATCATACCAAGTGACAGTGTCAAAGACTTTTGTAGTGTATTGCATAAGGTCAAATAAATAAATAAAGGAAAAGAAATTCATACTAATTGTGGTAAGTACTATGTATCCATATATACATATGCTTCCATAATTAACAAAAAAAGTGACACAATTATATTCTTCTCTCATCTCTCCGATTAGAGAAATGAAAACATGATTCCAAAATGAAAATGATTGAAACAATTAAAAGTTTACGTTTCAGAAAAGTTCAGCGTAATTAACTATGTTAGAAGTTCGAACATAATAACAAAGTAATAAACATAAAGCATAAAATCCTTGATTTTAGATCATCGAATTATGCTGTAACACGGAGTTACGTTGATTTCGTACATGACCTTGATCAAGCCTAAGGAAAATAAACTTTAGAGGCAAAAAATACTCATTTTCAGTACATAACATATATCTCAAACAATGTTCTCTATGATAAACACATAGGCTTTTAGAAAAAGAGAGAAGGAGATACCTTGAGCTAGAGAACTCGAAAAGCTTTCCAGTGGCAGAGAAGATGACGAGAGCAACATCTGCATCGCAAAGAACTGAGAGTTCATCGGCTTTCTTGAAGATTCCTCTTCTTCTTTTAGAGAAGGTAACCTGTCTCGCTGTTATGTTATCTATCTTCTTTATCCTTATCTTCTCTCTCGCCATTTTACCCGATCTCCTTCTCTACTAATCTTGAATCTTGCCTACCCACAACACAACATAGACCAAGTACAAACCAAAAAAGAAACCAAGTGGAACGATGGTTAGCTAAAGAGTGTTTGTAAAAATATTATCAGTAAACCCTAGATGGGTAGAGAGGGAGAGAGAAAGAGAGATCAGATCCAGAAACCATGAGAATCAAAAGAATGAACAGGACTAAGATGAATCCATCAAATGCCCTGCTTAAGAAGAAAGAACACACAGATTCACAGGGTTTTTACCTTTCTTTGGAATGGGAGGATCTTGGATTAGCTTATGCAATCTCAGCACCCACTTTATTAAATTCTTGTGAGAAGATAAAGAAAGAAAAAAAAGTTTTCTGGTTGCTTTTTATTCCCTAATATGTGAGAGAGAGGGAGTGAGAAAGAGATGGTTACTGTGTTTTGTGTGTTCAAGATTGGAAAGACGAGTCTGCTTTTTTTTAGCTAAACAGTGATCAATGGGCCATATGTTTTATGTTTCCGTCATTTTCCAAAACTAAAAATCATTAAATATAACCACATAAACACACTTTTGGTGTTTTGTCTGATTGAGCTGCCAGGCGAAGAGACTCCTACAGTGTTGATTTTAAGAATTACTAAAGCCTTCTTAATTCAACTAGTCTCTTCTTATTTCTGTTACAACTCAACTGAATATATAGCTCATAGAAGATATATTCGCATCTGGAACTTTTAACTTTACAGTAGTTTTACTGTTTAGTCTATTTTGGCTTTTCGATCTAGCTAGTAAACAAAATAAAAAAAAAGATAGACGTGAATATTATAATAAGTTACTAATATAGAGCTAGGTCAAATATAATGATACATATTCATGAAGATACACAATGTTGTAACTACCAATTCTAATGGAAAAGCTAGTTTAGATATTTTGTTATTCGTAACTAGTAGATGCTAGCTGTTCATCTACCATTTTGGTTATGGTTTTTTCACATAAGCTGGTGTCTATTAAATATTTCATCTACAATTGTTTTTTCTTTTCAAATAGTTCACTCAGCCTAGATGCGACAAGTGATTAGATGTCTCGCATCCCATCACCACCATTACCTTTTATTTGTAGTTGAGCCATTTATAGTTTTTATACCCCTTTCAAAGTTAATTTTAACCCTAACTATAGAGATAATCTCCGGTTAGAGTAAATGATGGACAAGCTAGTAGTAATGTAAAAATTCAATTAAATTTGGAAAAATTCGTGGGCTAGCGCCTCATATTAATATGATATATGTGAAAAGTAATATAGATGAGCTCAACAATTTCGTTGGCACAAAAACTCTGCAAGGACTAAAACAAGCACTTACAGAGTAGTCTAAGTTGAAACTTGAAATTACTGTATTTGGTCTACTATATGGGAGGAAAAATAAGAGAGTGCATTATATAGAGTGAGAGTTTTGGTGTAGATCAATGTAATTGTAATTGTGTTCTTTTTTTTTTTCTTTTTTTTTTTTGTGAACGAAATTGTAATTGTGTTCAAGAAGTGTTTTTAACACGCTTAAAAGCTTTCAGTGTTTGTTGTCGATGGAACCTAGCTAATAGATGGCAAAAATAATAATAAAAGAACTTAAAAATATATTGCAGCTTAAAAGAAAATAAAAAGAGATGACTTGGGCCTTATTAATGTCCTAAAATAGGCCCGTCAAAGAACAACGAGAATTCATCATTTATCAAAAGCACACAGAACCTTCCGACTTAGGAAGAAGCTTTCACGATACGACGGCAATTGGTAAAACGTGAACCACCTCACCACAGAGACGAAAACCGATCGGCGTTCAGTAGACTCAACCAAACTCGCGGTGAATCGTCGGAATCCACCGCTAAGGAATCATGATGATCTCTCAGTTCTTCGTCTTATCTCAGCGAGGAGACAACATCGTCTTCCGTGACTGTAAGCTCGTTTTCTCCCGATCTGATCCTCTCTGCTTCTTCCTGCTTTGTTTTTTTCTCTCTTCAGTATCGATACTTATTGTCACTGTTCTGTGAGATTCTTCCATTGAAGCTTATCTAAGCTCATTGATCTGTTTGATCTACCAGCATTTCCTATCCGATGATATATATGTTAAGCTGAATTCTCAAATCAGATTGTACGATATTATAGAACTATTCAATTAGTGGGAGAAAACATGTAATTCTTGGAATCCTGCTTTATAAGTAGATATATTGAATTCTTCTTTCTCTGTATGTAATGTAGTTTGTTTGAGCTCATTCGATTTAGTCGGATCCACTAGAAATTTTGAAGATGTGTAACATTTTATTGCTACAGACCGGGCTGAGGTACCCAAAGGCAGTACAGAGACTTTCTTCCGTAAAGTCAAGTTCTGGAAGGAGGATGGAAATTCAGAGGCGCCACCTATCTTTGTAGGTATTATTCTTTCTGTTTGGTTGTGGCCTATAATGGTTTTATCTAATGCTTGTTTTGTGCTTGTAGAATGTCGATGGTGTGAACTACTTCCATGTCAAGGTTGTTGGACTATATTTTGTTGCGACAACGAGAGTTAACGTGTCACCATCTCTTGTTTTGGAGCTTCTACAAAGGATCGCTCGTGTTATTAAGGATTATCTTGGTGTTTTGAATGAGGATTCATTCAGGAAAAATTTTGTGCTTGTGTATGAGTTGCTTGATGAAGTAATTGTAAGTCTAATCTTGAGTTGCTTCTCATTATTATCAAGTATATTTCTGTATTGTAGATGTTTTCGTTAATTTAATATGACTCAATGCTCTATTGCTTAGGATTTTGGTTATGTGCAAACTACATCTACCGAGGTTTTGAAATCCTATATATTCAATGAGCCAATTGTGGTTGCTCCTGCACGCCTCCAACCTATCGATCCTGCTGCCATTTTCACAGTGAGATTGATTTTCTTTTTCCTCCTCCTGGTATATGTTACTGACCCCTTGAATTAATGTTATGCAGCAAGGAGCCAAAAGAATGCCTGGAACAGCAGTAACAAAATCGGTTGTAGCTAATGACCCTGGGGGTCGGAGAAGAGAGGAAATTTTTGTGGACATCATTGAGAAAATCAGTGTTACTTTTAGTTCAAGCGTGAGTATTTGCTTTTTTCTAGGTTATTATATCAAAAGTATAGGAGTCTTGGCATGCTCTCTTCACCTTGCTATATCAAACCATTCATTTCTATAGATCAATGCTAGATACTATGTCCTAATATATGTAGTTGCATCGTAATGTTAGTTTCTTGATGAAATTTGAAATTATCCATATATTTATTTATTTTTGTGAACAGGGTTATATACTGACTTCTGAGATTGATGGCACCATTCAAATGAAGAGCTATCTCTCTGGTAATCCAGAAATTCGTTTAGCTCTTAATGAAGACCTAAACATAGGAAGAGGAGGAAGATCAGTATATGGTATTGCTTGTTTCACTCCTTTAAATCAACATTATTATCTTGGGAAGGGATCTACATGATATTCTATCTTGTCTCACTCTTTGAAATCTTGGTGTCTCTTTCCGTAACATTTGGGTTTTGAAAATGCTTTAAAATGCTAACTAAGCTGGGTTTTGAAAATGCTTTAAAATGTTAACTAAGCTGCATGTTTCCACTTATAAGCTTCCTTCATAATCCGACTCTTTAATTGGTATAGCTACTACTGTAGCATTCTTCTGCCTCTTTGAGGCACATCATTATCAACTAGGGTTTGATCTGGTAAGACGATCTAACCCTTGGTAACATGACACTTGAACTGTTGCAGATTATAGGAGTTCTTCAGGTTCAGGGGTGATACTTGATGATTGCAATTTTCATGAGTCTGTTCGTCTGGATAGCTTCGATTCAGATAGAACTTTGTCCCTGGTGAGCTTCAAAATATATAGCACAGAAAACATCTTGTCATAGCATGTTGTATTGCGATTTAACGTGCGCTCTGTTTTCAGGTTCCACCAGATGGTGAATTTCCAGTGATGAATTACCGTATGACCCAGGAGTTCAAGCCTCCTTTCCATGTTAATACCTTGATTGAAGAGGCTGGACGCCTTAAGGTGAAATTTCATGGGTACAAGTTTTCTGAGTCAGATGGAAAACTAAAAAAATTATTACTTTATCCCAGAGCTAAAGTCATAAATTTCTGTTTGCTGATATTTAGGCTGAAGTGATAATCAAAATACGTGCTGAATTCCCTTCAGACATAATCGCCAACACGATTACTGTTCAGATGCCATTGCCAAATTATACTTCCAGGTACATCACTTTTTTATTGGTACAACAAGTGCATTACCGAGATACATGAGCAAAAGACTATAAGAAAGTTTCATAAATTCTAGACTTGGTTATTCCAAAATCTGAATCACACTTGAGATGGATTCAATGGATTATGGTTGTTGTCACAGGGCTAGTTTTGAGTTAGAACTTGGTGCGGCTGGGCAGAGGACAGATTTCAAGGAATCAAGCAAAATGCTTGAATGGAATTTAAAAAAGGCAAGTGTTGAATCTCTCACGTGGTCTTTCGAACGATAGATTGTGCTTCCATTAGCTAACAACTGTTGTGCTCTAGATTGTTGGTGGGGCTGAACATACTCTGCGTGCGAAGCTAACATTTTCACAGGAATTCCATGGTGACCCTCTTAGACAAAAGTTTTTAAATGTGTTCTCTCAGAGAAAAATAAAGCATTGCTGATCATTTTCAATTTCAATTTAGGTAATATCACAAAGGAAGCAGGGCCGGTCAGCATGACTTTCACGATACCCATGTACAATGTTTCTAAACTTCAGGTAAGTAAAATGCCGGTTCTTGAGAGTTTCCGTTCTTGCATTACCATTAACCATCGTCTTCAATATTCTTCAATTAATTGGGTGATGCAGGTCAAATACTTGCAGATAGCAAAGAAATCAAGTAGCTATAATCCATATCGTTGGGTGAGATATGTGACACAGGCCAATTCGTATGTGGCTCGGATATGACCTTCTTTGAGATAATGTTTTGTCACTTGTATGTCTAAGCACTTTCTCTTTTCTTCTACATAATGTTTGTTCATTTCCGGATCATACTTCACAGTACATGTTGAATGTTGTCTCTTCTATTTGGGATATTTTCTTGTTTGGTTACATTGTATCATTTTCTTTTTCTTATCCCCTGAAAACATCATATGAGCTCAAAACATGCAATCTGCAGAGTTGCACGCATTGAATCTTTCCTGGTCAGAATCCAAGATACTATTACGCAAGTAGTAATGAAGCAAAAGAGCAGCGTTGAGACACAATTAGATTAGCTTTATTGATGATTATAGTTAAAATCAAAACAACTTATTAACAAACGTAAAATTCTCTTCCATTACGTGATACATTTTCATGGGCAAAATCTCTTTTCCCCACTATACACTACTATATACCACTTCCCATTAACCACTTTCACCAAGCCTAGGGTTTGTTAATAAGACCACTCCATCTACGTGTAATCAATCTACTTTGTTCTACTACTTTGACTTAATTGGCGCGGTGGACAAAAAACCATCGTTTCCCTCTCACCTTTCTCCTCCCAAGGGCAACTGATGTCTTGAGGTTCCGTTAGTTTCTGGAGAAGAACGACTCAGCGGCGAATGCCTTGTGAAGAGAGGAGAAGACGAGGAAGACGATGATGTTGGTGAAGGAGCCTCGGACTGTCCGTGGGCACGTCCTTGATGATCTCCAAAAATGAAATCAGCAAAATCATCCATGCTTGTGCTGTCTGTGCTACAAGAGCATTCATCTGAGTTGCTGTCAAATAGAGAAGAACTGTCACTTGATGAATCATCTTCTAAAATTTTCTGCAGCCTCTGGAAACTGGAATAAAACGACTGTATATTGCCAGATCGACCACCACCGGGAGTGTTGGAAGACAACAGAGGACTTGAAGTAGACACAGACCGTGGCACTGATATGCTACTTTTCTCACTAGCCTTAGGTATTGGCACTCTGCTTTTTTTATGGGATCCTTCAGATTTGGTACACACTATTAATCTTGGAGACATTGGAGAGCACCTGTTGTCAATTGATTACATATACACCATAGGTAACCAGATCAGGCACAATCCACAATCTTAAAAGAGTGTGAGAGAAGCATTATAATAGCATTTACCTTGCGTAGAACAACATATACGCTCCCTTTGTCAAGATCCTTTCAACGTCAGAAGTTACTACCTGAAACATAGAAATTTTCTTCAAACGTATGATCCAGAGATGATGATGACAAGAAGAAACCAGTAAAATGAGTAGAAGCCAACGCTTTTCCTCTCAGAAAAACCAATCCTAAGACTTTCAGACTTCAACGAGGATGGAACAAATGTTCTAGAAAACCCAATGGAACCAGCTCGAATATATCCTATCAGACAATGTTAACCTAAAACGGTGATAAAATTGAGCTTATCTATAAACCAATCGACAACCAACTTTCCAAAGATATGTGAGAAACTTACCGTGCTATCATCAGCCTTGTACCACTTATTTTGATTTCTGATATAGCAGACATAGTGGCCAGAAAACGCCGCATTCATTATATCCAAGTGAACAATAACTCCATAGAGTTTGTAGTCATGTGATTTTTCACTTCCTCCGCTGACATATGGAGCCAAATCTAGAGTTTCTGGAAACCTTATCAACTTATTGAGCTTCCCGAATTTCCCTGCCTTTAAGAATTAAGTGTAGCGAAATGGTGAAAAGACAAGAAAACACAGATGGAACTAACCAGAAACAAACCGGGCCTTCACTAAAGATATAAATTACCTGGAATCGTTTTAGTGCAATTGTAAGGACATTAGGAGGTTCCGTAATTTTCAGCTTCTTTTTGGCTCTCTCATAGGATTTACAGCTGCTCAAAGAAACAAAAAAAAGTTAGCACCCATCAACTATCGAATGTAAACCTTACAGCCAGAATCGAATGTAGTTTTATAAGAGGTTACAGATGATTGGTTAGAACTACGAAAATAAAAGACCATGATAGCACTCCCAAAAATTCTGTCATGATAAGGCTAGAGGGGAACTCTGTAGCAGCGGGTAATGGAATCAAGGTAATGTAGTTGAAATTCATGAAAGGGAATATAATTTGATTGGCCATGAACTGTAAATCAATCAGTATCCTACCAATTTCAGAACAATATATAAAGCTGATGTAAAACTCTATCCCCAAAACCATGAAAAAATACATATATTAAGGAGCACATGAACTTCACACATAAGGAAATGCTGACCAACCTGCCACATCTGTATTTGTTTTCTCCATCCAATATCTCAGTCCTTGTAAATCGACGCAAAGCATCATCCAAGGTGCTAATATCCCCATCAATCTCAACTGTTAGATCCATCATTTTCTCGTGAAGCTCAGATTTTCCTTGACATTTCATGCATTTAATCTGGCAGACATCATAATAAAAGTATTATAACTCCCTCCAAAACAATGTATAATGAATACAGTTGAAATGCACTTAGTAGTGATACCTTTGATCGGAGGTATCCCCCAAATGTCAAACCAATAAGAGTTGTATCTTCTAATTTGCTGGTCTTCGGCTTATCATATTTAGATGCCTTAATGCACACAGACTGCATTGTGTCGACAACAAACCTGCAAATTGCAAGCAAAAAAAGAAATGAATGGGAACTAAATTAAAACAAGACTCTTCCAATTGTATACATCAGGGTTTGTTCAACTAAAGAAATTTTAATTCACCTAAGGAATTCATGTGCATCTTCTTCCTTGCCATTCCCAAGAAAGATTCCAATACTCTTCAACTGAGACAGCAACCCATTAGGGGACAGTGGAGCCTTCCCTTCTTTTGCCTTTAAGACCAGCTTCTCAAACCCACAGGTGAAGCACTGTTCTTTGTTTGGACCTATAATTGAACTAACTATTAAGAGCTTGATATAACAACAAATATAAAACATAACCTTCCAAAATAAGCAGCATATAGAACATAAAATATATATATATATAACTTAGGACCAGTGACGCACATGCTCTAGAATGCAACTGCTGGAGGAAGTATGCCGTCAAAGGAGGCGTGAACATCAGGCATTGGAAGACGACATTAGCAAAGCAGCTGCGAGAAACAGAGTATTTTTTTTGCATCAGCGTGTGGGAGATACACATTATATTTTGATTACAGCACAAGCTGAAGATTATAAAAGCCACAAAACAATATGCACTTCTTCAGAAAGCATAATCCCAGGATAAAGAAGACTACAGAAAGAGGAAACTGGGATCACCTATTGCCAACATTGATGAGGCCACAAGGCTGGAACTCAATTTTATTTGTATACAGCTTAGAAAAGTCTTCGTATGGAAAGAGCCCCTACATATCACAAACAGGTTGGTAAGAATAAATAGTTGTGCTGATTTGTTTACGTAGGAAGTATCCTGTTGCAGAATGATGATAGTATCCTTGAACTCAGTGATTACCTTATGACCATGTCTTCCTGCCATCTCATTCTCAGCTGATGATTTCGGTCTAGTCCACTGGTCTACAACTTTAAGTACTGATGCCTTCAAACCACTTCGTCCATGTAGAGAATTTATAGGGTGAACGGCAACACCATTCTGTTTCTGATGGTCAAGAACTCTTCCAGTTTTTGCACCTAGAGGAGAATGTTTCATAACATCAGTATACTCCCTAGCATTTGAGGCCTTCGATGCCAAAATTTGGACTTCCCCAACCTTCCTAGGGGCCAACATACAGCGACTTTCACTACTGGCACTCTTTGACTTCTGAAGGATCATAGGGGACAAATCAGTAGTGCCTAAAGACCTTGGCGCATCAGTAGAAGCAAAAGTTGGTAACGAAGTTTCAGCTTTAACAGATCTTTTAGCCTTTCTTTCTTTTACATTCACTTCAACAGAAGAACTCACTGATACAGTCCTGGGAGCTTCTTCTGAATACCTGGGAGCTTCTTCTGAAATGCTACTCTTAAGCCCAGAGACTTTAGCAGCTGAAGTGTCACTGGAGGAGCCAAAGGAGAAATGCAGAGAGGAATTACCAGGTCCATCAGATTTAGAACTATCACAATTCTCACTCAGACATTCTGCTGATCCAAGAGCCGTACCCCAAAAATCAGATGACTTCAGAGGAGACGGGTCAGCGGATCCTGGATACCTATCCGTAACTAATGAGTGTAAGCTACTTGATTGGATATGGTTCTGCCCAGTATCACCACCAGGATTATGCAGACTTAATTTAGGCAAACTAGCGAGGTTATCTACAGACTCAACCAAATGCACGAATTTAGGAGACAACGGTTTGGATGGAACATCATCTATGGTGTTGAAACAGGTCTCCTCTGACTCTGCAGAAACATGAGCATCAAGTGGGGATTCTGATCTCTCGGAATCAGATGAACTGAAGCTATCACAGCGAGAAGAAATCTCATCACCAGAATCATTACGAGGGGAGGAGGAGAAACCAGAAAACGAGGATCCAGATGTTTCAGCAACAGAAACAGCTTCTTCCTTATCTATAAGGTCATCTTTGTTATCTGCAAAATCTCCATTTCCATCTTCCGGAGATTTAGCAGGATTAGAGAATATTGCTTCCCCACTAGGCATAGAATCTGGTACTGGATGCACCAATAAAGTTTCATCAAGAGTATTCTGTTCATTTTCTTCTCTGCAACTCAGATCAGAATCACTTTTCTCATCTTCATTATCATATATAATGGAAGCAGGAAGACATTCATCTTTGTGACCTTGCCGCCAGTGAATGATTTGACATTTCCCAGAACTGATAAAAGAGAAGCAAAATAAGTTCCACAGTCACAAATGTCACTAAGACACGTTGGAAACGAAATTTCACTTACGCGGGAGGGGAAAAAGGTTGAGAATTTGTTAATGCAAGGCTTAAACTATCTAATTAAGAGAAATTTCTCAACAGCAAACTGGCGTACACGATACAAATACTGCACTTCCTCCAAAGCTAACAAATGATCCATAACTTTATTAAGACAGAAAACGAAATCAGCTTTCTGAAAATCTCTGGTTCAGTAATATTCGAAGATACGAGATGCACTTTGAGTATTGCTAAAATTACAGAAGTAAATCGAATTCTTTCCCTTCTAACCACTCCAACTCACTAAGTCTCACCAGGTAATGCAGCACAATCAAAACTCTAGAACCATAGACACTTAATTTGGAAAATGAAAGGTTAACGCATAGGGATAAGGAAGTTGCATACCAGTACCGAACGGATTTGCAGCGAGAGCATCGAGTGGTGGCAAGACAATAGCAGACAGGACAATGGAAGACATTAGAGACGGCAACAGAAGAGAACTCAACAGAAGCCTCTCGCTCAGCCCTATCAGCCTCTTGAGAGGCATGAATAAGAAGTCGTCTAATCTCTTCCCTTCTTTGGGCCGCGACCCTCCATTTGTGACGAACAGTGAAGCCGATCAAAGGTAGAACAATAGAGATCACGAGGACAAGAGTCGAAATCCCTAGATCCAAAACAAGGAGCATTTATCCTCCAGCAGATGCACAAACAACAGGAAACGAATCTGGACCACCAACCATAGAATCCACCGGCGTAATCAGCCGGGAACGAAGGTGAACTGTGAGGATCAGCCCGGCGGGATTTTTCGCATGCAGAAGAGAGAATAGTTAGATTTCGCTGGTGGGTAAGCTTCCGAAATGACGACACAGGAAAATCCAAAGATGAGAGGGAATAAACAAAACCCTCGAGAGAGCACAAGTTGGGGTTTTAATTTTCTTATATATTTCTGAGAGAAAAGAAAAGTAGAAACAAAATTGGGTGCTTCTGGTTTAGGGTTTCAAAAGGAAAGAAAGAAATGGGGGAAAAGGAGTGGAGGAGAGATTCTTCTTCTTCGGTAGGAGGAGGAGGAGGAGGAAGAAATTAGGACGAGAGGACAAAGGATATATTACTTTTCTATACCAAGACGTTTGCTGCTTTTTCATTCATTTTACCAGACTACCTTTTCTTTTTCTTTTTTTCCTAACGTCATTTTGGGGTTTTCTTATTACCATCAATTCTTTTTTTTAATATAAATTAAAAATAATTGTTCAACGGAAATATGTATTAATCTGTTGACAAGAAGAAAAAAAAGAAAAGTTTGTGTCTTAGTCAAGTAAAAAATGATATTGATGGGAAATTGTAGTTATCTACTTATTTTTCTTTTACAATTTGATATTACATCATTGTTATAAAAGATTTAACTTACTATATATGGTTATTTACTATATATAACAAACATATCTAAGCATTTGCAATCTACACGATTCTCTATATGTTATATTGACTACGACATATATTCTTCTATCTATAGAGCATACGAGAGTTATGATTACAAGGTTGTATTTGATGAGGCACATTGACATCTTGGAGAACGATCGTCAAATATCAAACCCAAAATTTGGATGTAAAAACACTAACACATGTAATTGACAAACTAGAATATATCATTTGTTATGTTTTAAAAAAAGAGAATGAAAGAGTGTAGAAGAAAACTAGTGATGGCTTCAAAGAGAGTCAGATTGTATTGAATGGAGATATTACTCGCCATGTTTGATGTAAGAAGGGCAAATTGTAAAAAGGTCGATGTCAAACGTGAAGACTGGATCAACCAAGAGTCATCTCGTGTCGTGGAAAACTATGTATTTCCACCCAACTTTCCCATCTTATCACTTCGGTATTTGAAATAGTAATTAAGGAATCAATAACCTAATGAATGTTTCAAATACAACTACTAATACCAAAGCTACCCAACTATGTAAAGTCAATGAAACTAATAGTAATATTTTCCGAGTAAATATTACAATTCAGTAAAACTTCTAGTACTTATATTAAACAAATTTACAAAAATAAAGTTGTCAATTAACAAAGAAATTTCACTAGTTCCACACTATTAGAAAACTTAATTAAACTTTAACTTTTTTACAGAGAAGATTACAACAAGTCGCTTTGGCCGAGTGGTTAAGGCGTGTGCCTGCTAAGTACATGGGATTTTCCCGCGAGAGTTCGAATCTCTCAGGCGACGTATCTTTTTTGCTTCCTTTAACATTAAGGCCCAATTAACAGGTCTCGCTCGTAAAGCCCATAAAGCTACCAGTGGGCTGTCTTTGACTCACTCACACGTTTTTCTACTTTTTGACCAGCTGGCGAATCTGACTGACTTAATTAGGGTTTACTTTAATGAACGAACGAACGATCAGGGAGAGAGACACACTCTTCATGTCTCACTCATCGTTCGTCAACATTGAACACAAGACAAAACCGCGTCACAAAAACGACACACTACAAATACAACTCTTTGTTTCCCTCTTCTTCTTCATCACACTCTCTTATACACTGTATTAAATACAGTATATCTCAGTTTCATTCTCTCTTCCTTCCGATTTCACAAAAGATGGGCGTCAAAAGTTTCGTTGAAGGTGGGATTGCCTCTGTAATCGCCGGTTGCTCCACTCACCCTCTCGATCTCATCAAGGTTCGTCTTCAGCTCCACGGCGAAACTCCTTCCTCCTCCACCGTCACTCTCCTCCGTCCAGCTCTCGCTTTCCCCAACTCTTCTCCTGCTGCTTTTCTCGCCGAGACCACCTCTTCTGTTCCCAAACTTGGACCGATTTCACTCGGAATCAACATCGTCAAGTCGGAAGGCGCCGCCGCGTTATTCTCCGGCGTCTCCGCTACACTTCTCCGTCAGACTCTCTATTCTACCACCAGGATGGGTCTTTACGAAGTGCTTAAGAACAAATGGACTGATCCTGAGTCAGGAAAGCTGAGTCTGAGTCGTAAGATCGGTGCAGGGCTGCTCGCTGGTGGAATCGGAGCCGCCGTTGGAAATCCGGCCGACGTGGCGATGGTTAGGATGCAAGCTGACGGGAGGCTTCCTTTAGCACAGCGTCGTAACTACGCCGGAGTAGGAGACGCAATCAAGAGCATGGTGAAGGGAGAAGGCGTAACGAGCTTGTGGCGTGGCTCTGCTCTGACGATTAACAGAGCGATGATTGTGACGGCGGCTCAGCTTGCATCGTACGATCAGTTCAAGGAAGGGATTGTGGAGAGTGGTGTGATGGAGGACGGGCTCGGGACTCACGCGGTTGCGAGTTTCGCGGCGGGTTTCGTCGCGTCGGTGGCGTCGAATCCGGTGGATGTGATAAAGACGAGAGTGATGAATATGAAGATGGGAGCGTACGAAGGCGCGTGGGATTGTGCGGTGAAGACTGTTAGAGCTGAAGGAGCTATGGCTCTATATAAAGGCTTTGTTCCTACGGTTTGTAGGCAAGGACCTTTCACTGTCGTTCTCTTCGTTACCTTGGAGCAAGTCAGGAAGCTGCTTAGTGATTTTTGATACTTCTATTCTTTTATTGATGATGATGATGATGATGACGACTACTATTTTAGTATATTCATTTTTTCATTTTTGAAATACAGTAGTGAACCCAAAGAGGGAAGAGGAGTTCAATATACTTTTGTTCAAATCCTTGTTATAAATACAATTCAATTTCTGTTCCTATACTGATGTGAATGTCCACTACCAAAACAACAGATCCAACGCACAGTTAAAAACACACAAAAAAATAGTGTAGTTTATTTGGTTTTAGAAAAAGCTGAAGCAAGATAAAAAAAAAAAAAAAGATAAGAGAAGAGTAGACTAAAAAGAATGAATCTGTTATTGTGTTGTTGGGTAAAGAATAAGCATAAATGGAGCTGGAGTTAATTTGGCGGCTGTACATCTGGAGTTAAGCAGCTCTAAGAAAGAGATCATCTGGAAAAGGTTCTCGGTGTGGTGCTGGGATGGCCTCCCCCAGATGATCCTCTGCCTCTGTCTCCTCCTCCGTTCTCGGATCTTCCTCTGTCAAGAACATGTGGGCTTTGGAGTTTGCCGCTGTCTGAGTCCTGGTTTGACCCTGATCCTTTCTCGGTTTCCTCTGATACACGGTTTGGCCCTGAGGATGGACTGGATTGCCCTGGGGCTCTTCCTTTGTCCATGTTTTGGAGCTCGTTTGCAATCTGACTCCGTCTCTCCTTCAGGAAGTTGAGTCGCATTGTCAATTTGGAAAGTGCAGAAGTTGTTGTTGTGCTTCCCTGTTTGTTGCACTCAGCTTCTAGTTTTGAATGATATTTGGATGAAATTTAATGGTTTCAGTTTGAAACTTACCTCTCCCTTTGTGCCAGACCTCTTTGACATGCCTGCCAGCTTTGAGCTGCCACGTGACATTTCTTGTTGCGAACTTTTGCTCCGTGAACCCTGTTGCTTCTCTGTCTCATTTTCTCTTGCAGCCGCTTGCCCATCCTGCAAAATGTTTCCCGTCTGTAATGGATAAATACATAGAAAGAAAACACAACTTGATAGACATATATCAGATGTTTACAGTGGTTACCTTGGACGTTGACCTTTCAAAAATATGAGTAGAGGCTGCTTCAGTATCCTTTTGTTTCTCCTTCCTGTGTGACAAAGTTGAACAAAAACTACTAATTAGCTTTGATATGGTTTGAATCAAAGGCCCTGAGGTTACATGTGAATCTGTGGTGAATCCTTACATCTTTGCATTGTGCTCTGGCATTTTCCGAGATTCTTTGCTGGTACCATGCGTGGAACCAGAGGCTTTTACGTCCTGTTGACCAAGTCTATTTTCAAGATCATCAACCTTATGTTCCAAGTTGACAATATCAGCCTCAGCCTGAGCTACGTCTTGCAGATCTTTCTTCAACTGCAGACATGTCATCCAAGTTATGTACTTTTTTTAACCAGCCAAAAGATCAAATAGTTGCTAGATAAAGATGAAAGGAAACCTTTTCATCGATCGATTCTGGAATAGGTTGATTTCCTTTTGACAAGTTCAGTCCTGTTTCCAGGGCTAATTTCCTGTCTCTCTCTTGCTGCAACTGTTCTTGTAGTCTTTCCACCTAGATGAAGAGAAAACACACATACATATACCTAAATATAGACACTCAATAATAACAAACTTTACATAGCTAGGATATGGTTTTATTTTACACTTACATCTTGCTCTAGAGCTTGGCGCCGCCCATACAATGCCTTCTTCCGTCGCTCCAAACTAGCTTGTAGAACTGCATTGTTTTTTACCTGTTACCAAACTTAGAGGTTGTTAGGTCATATATATTTTAAAAGCATCACTTATATTGCCAAACGAGTTAGCAAAAGCAAAGACACTCAAAAGGACTTATCGTGACCTCTTCTGTAATTCTGTTTTGCAGCTCCAATTTGGTTGACTCAAGTCTCTCAATGTCAGCACTGCCGAATATTAACATTTTCAGAATGAAACCGATGTAATGTAGACCACATCAATTCTTGTCCAAACAAATTTGAAGTTTTGTAAGAACCTATGTAAATCATTTGTAGCCATGATAATACTTACTTGTCCTCATCCACTTCCACTGTAAAATCGATAGATTCCATCGACAGGTTTTTCTTCCCCTGAGCACATAAAACATCAACCTTTTAGTATATTTCTGGATCCCTTAAGAGATAGATAAAACAAAGAGAGCTGGTCCCTGAAAATAATAAAGGCAGAAGAAAAATAAACTTACAGGGGTGCGACCCCAGTTCCTTTTACTTCCTCCTGGTGCATCGGATAGAGTTGACGGTTTTTGAGTGCTAGATTTCACATCTGATGTTGATGAATTCTTATTCTCAGGTTTCGAGACCTCTACAACAGCCTTTACCTCGGTATTATCAACTCCTCTAACCATGATTTCCTCATCCTTTTTTCCGTCATCGTGTCGTGGTAGTGAAGATCGTTTAGAGCCAGATAAAAGTTTCTTAGGCTCCTTAGTTCCTTTCGGGGATTTTGACACAGGACTTAAATAATCATTTACCTGCAGCAAACAGTTATATGAAATGTTGCAAACACAATCGCCAAGTGAGCAGGGATGAGGACCAAGGAACTTGTACCATCAATGTAAACTTTTAAATAAATTCCAGAATCCAAATATGAACTCAATTATAGTGTAATATTCCTTGTAATCGTAAGATAACTTTTCGAGAAAAAGATTAAAGATTGAAGGTTAGTATATGAACGTGCCTGATGGTCATCAGGATCAATGCTGTCTGAATATTTGTCGTCTGAGGCGGCACTTTCACTGTATGATCCATTGGATTCATTTTCCAGGTCCTCTTCCTCATCTGTGTAGTCATCAGACCCCTGAGTGCCATCATCCTCATCGTCTTCATCATCATACTCTTCATCATCAGATCCCTCCTCTGTTCCACTACCACTCTCTTCTGAGTCAGAGTACAATCCCGGTGACAGGGTACCTTCCTGCAGACAGAGACCATTCATAAAGTTAGTGTCTGAAAATAAGCATACTAGTGCAACTATGATAAGAACCAAAATTGTCATTTCACATTGCCTCCAATGTTTTCACTATACTACTGTATTAAAGAACGTATAACTAAGCAGAGAGGTAACCATTCATCAATTATGATCGTGTGACTAAGAAGACCCTTAATCATAGAGAGAACTATTGTCTTACTCCAAATATACTTTCATATTCTTCTAATAGTGTTATCACTATAGCCTGGGCATGATTAGCCGCAGCAGCTGCTTGCAGAAGTTGCATAGAACCATCACCCCCGACATCAAAATCATTTTCAATTTCACAGTCACCAGCCAGAAGGGGTCGAAGAAGTAAAGGTGCCATACAAGCTGCAACGGCGTTTGTGTTCATCCGGTTCACAGTTTTGTTAGAGGATACAGTCTGCATCATCATCAGGATTCTGCAAGAGGACAAACAATCAGTTAATGACAAAAATTAATTTACCCATATGCATGTTAAATCATCTTCGTAAGCTAAATGTGGAAAATAGACTACCTTTGCAATAGGCGACGATTTGGTTCAGGGAATGATTCACAGATTGCTGCCCGCATAGCATTGACTCTATTGCCACGGTCTGTACCTGGTAAAGTTGCGCGTCAGAAAACTGGGAATACGATATGTTGCATTGCAAGGAGAAGAGGCTAAATATCAAACGGACACTTAAATAAATGTCGCTTGAGTTCATTATCAAAATTTCTCAATGCTGATTAAATTCTAGATATTGTCCAAAAATATGTCATTTTGTACAAAACAACTAAAAAAAAAAACAACAAAAGTGGATATGCATGTCCAAAAGGAGTTATTCAGTTAATTTTACAGTGGAGACATCTGATTGTCCTTAAGAGTAAGCAATATAATGATCATAGTAAACTCCAAGAAAGATAAATGCTTACTGAAAAAAAGATGGTAATGTATCTAGCTTTCGATGGAGCACCAAGGAAGGGGACACACATACACACACATTTAAAAAAAAAAAAACAGAAAGATAATGATAAACTTACGGCAAGCTTCCAGAAGGGCGTTGCAACAAGATGCAGGCACCGGAGAGGAAGGCAACTCTCTAAGAAAATACTGCACATTTATAGATACAGTTAGAGAGGTTTAAGAGTGATAAGCTAACTCAGCATTTTAATGAATAGTAGCAGATACCTTAAGGCAATCAGCAATAACATGAGCATCCTCCTCGGGACTGAACTCATTTTTTCCTGAACCAAGTGCCTCTGTATCAATAACTTGCACAAAGCAGGAAAAAAAATTGAATAAATACATGTAATCGTATATATAACATAAGAACTCAAACCTTGCTCATATTCTCGAATCCGGTGTTCAACATCATCAACATCGGCAGCTTGTCTCAAGATTCCTTCAATCCTGACTCCTGCAAGTTATTGTTGTCTAATTTCAGCTTAGAGTAAGTAAAAGAAGCAGCAAATCAAGCTGAAAGCTTAAAAATAATACCATGATCTTCAACAAATCTAAGGGCCTTTTCCAAGAAAGATGGAGCTCCATCTACATCTTCTAAAGCAAGTAATACTGGCCTTCCAAGAACGGTTGATTTTGCTGGTGTCTCATCTTCTATAAAAATATAAAAAGAATGCATCATTGTCAATAAAAAGATAAAGAAATGCCTTATTGTCCAATGAACTGAAAGAGAAACTAATCTTCCACTATCTAATGAATGACCATATTTTAGGGAGACTTTCAAGACTAACTGGTCAGCCTTAAACTCCAGACGCAGGGATCATATGTTAACATGATAGTATTTTCATGTTGCTTAATTTCAACTTTGACATTCTCACAACACTCAAGACATATATCTTGTTTTCTTTTTTATAAACTAAACCATTGAAAAGGTGACAAGCATACTCTTTTCATCAACACCAGCAGCGGGTTCTGCATGATCATTCCTGAAAATACCATTTTGACCCATAACATGAGAAGCACTTGGTGCTTGTGTCAAAGCGTTTTCTAGAGCAGCTTTCCACTCATATAGATCCTCCATAGTGTCAGCCTTAAAAAAAATCAAATCATACGGTCAAAGTTTATCCATCTCGATAGTCAGTAAATACATCCATAACAAAATAGAGTTCAATAAATAAACAGAAAACAGTTTTTAAGGGGGTAAGGTGGGTTCCAGGTGCGTGGCACACTAGCACCCATGTAGCCAAGA